CGCTTCGCGCTGAACGACCAATCGACATTCCGGAATCTGAGCATGCTACGCATTCCCGACGTGTAACTCCCGAGAACTCGTTGCGGGTTTGTCATCCTCTTCGACGGACGACTTCGACGTTAATCTTCGTCCGCGTCGCGCCCTCGAAGGACATCGATTCCAAGATCAAATCCGCCGTGAATGCAATTGAGGCCGCAACGAATTCGACTTAACGCAAACCCAACCCACACAAACGATTCTCGACGCGAAGAAAATAAACTGCTTTGATGTTTTCACGTCACTCAATAATAGAACAAGACATTAGTAATCGCTCCTTAAACATCGCTAACAGCCCGATGTACTCTCCGATATCTTTACAGCTCGATAGAACCCAAGCGTTTCGATCACGACGTTGCACCAATAACGTTTAAAAACTATTTTTCTCGATACGTTAAGTGCGATGCTTAAGCCCTGCATCTCATAAAATATTACTCGTCGTAATCGTCTCCGCGATCCACGAAGCGCAAATGCGACAAGTCGAGAGCCTCCTCGGCACCGAGAAGAACTCATTGCAAGAGTAATTCTGCATTCCCCTTTGGCGGGGATGTCAGTCCACATCGCATCGTCTCTTTCAAACGTCGCAACAGTGCTCTAAAGACGGTCCATTAGACCGCGGCGAGAGGAGCAGCGGCATCTTCCAGACGCTTAAAGGACCAGGAACGCGGATACCGCTAGTTTGCATAATAATTAATCACCTGGTGCTCCTCGTAACGGACAATTTCCGGCGCTCGCTGGATCGTAACTGACCGCTTCTGCCAATAATAACACGAGGAAGAGCGCACCCGATAACGGAAGCGCCCAATGCTCGCGAGGAGCACGGGGATGAACATCAGAAGACAGGTGATCGAAGAACGATGAGACGGTAGTTTCTTTTACGGTTTCCAGAAGCAATCAGCTCCCCGATAATAAAAAAACTAACTTCTCCCAGCTTTGAATAATTTTGCAAAAATCGACGGCTTACGAGGTACGGGATCTCATGAGATATTCACGCGGCCTTCCAATGCCGAAAGGTTTCCCATCTCTGGGCTGAAGGTGGTTGCCTGGGGAAGTCGAGAAACCCGCGGCGGAAACGTAAAACGTTACATAACTTGGCAAGATTACTCCAGCAACGACGTTACGCTCGCTTTACGTCCGATGAACGCGAAGAAGCGCTTAAGTAGCGTTATAAATCCGAACCGCGATGGCCAGGGGGAGATAATGACATCGGGAAAGAGGGGAAACGAGCGTCGATTCCACGCGCGCACGAGATTCCTGAGAAATTTCGCGCTCGCTTTTCGCAGAGCGATAAGCTTCCGTCGTCGAGTCGTAAACCAGCGAGAGAAGGTTCTTTTCCCTTTCGAAGACGCGCCGAGAGGAAAAAACTTAGCGATTCTTAGCCGTGGGATAGTGGTCCAGGTACAGTAATGCTTGGACGGGCCTGAAACAGCCCTAGGAAAGGACAACTATTCAAAGTAGCAATTTTTCGTACTGTGAGAAAAGAAACAATTGGTATCACCATGTTAGATTCCGAGCGAAAGGAATTAACCGACAACGCTGTTTTTTTTTTTAAAGAAACTCTTTAAACGAAACATCAGGACGTTTCCTGTCGATTAATTGCCTTCGAGATCAGGCTCTTAGAACAGGACTCGTTATGCCACGCGGTCCAGGTCTCCCTCAACAAAAAATTTTAATCGAGAACCGTGAGGCAGCAGACGACGAAGGGAGGCGGAAGATCCGCGAAGGGGTCCAGCCCTTAAATCACTAGAGCCCCCTTTCCAGGAAACCTATATTCAGCGTACGGTCCCAGGGGACCATTATCGCGAAACACGTCCTGAATTATGCACAGCCCCGCTCGAGATCCGCTCCGAGATGCGGCTCGTTCAGGGGAGGCCGCGTTCTCGGTAATTGATGGGCTTTAATGGACTGAAGATTACAAAGTGGCGAGTTTTAATTACCGCGATCGTCCGTACGGCTTCCTGTTATTACGCGATCCGATAGGCGGACGAGCGCGATCGAAACGCCTCGACGTTTCGGATTACCGATCATAGGACACGGAGGACGATCCACGCCCGTGACACGCGGTTACACCTGTCGCAATCATCCCACCCCGTATCGCGCGTCCTGCGGCCCTTCGCGAACCAAGGCGCGGCCTGCCATTTTAATTTCGTGCAAATTGCCTCGACGATGCTTCCCGACCGTTTACGTATCTCTCCTATCGCGGCGCGACTCGAAAAATCATCGTAATTGGATTACCCTACGCGAAGAAGAACCGGTAGTGAGCATCGCGCGCGCTCGATGGGAAAGAGGGAAAGAGAGAGAGAGGGGGGGGGTGGGGCGTAGACCGTGCAAAAGGAAACCAGTTTCCGCGAGGTTCTCTACTTTGTAGCGAAATTAATTTTACAATTACCGCGTCTCGAATCGCAGTCATCCGGGAAACGAGCCAGGGGCTGGAAATTATAGGGATAGGCGCGATCGAGCAACGGCTCCAAGGAAGAGATCGCCGCGATCTGCGATGAAACGTTCGCGCTGAACGGAACCGGAGCGCGGCGTGCTAGATGCGCGCGCTGAGCCTCGAGCAGCGCGTTGCCCGCGGTGCGTGGACGGAAGAACGCGGAGAAGAGACACTACGCGCCAGACACAAAACAGCCACTTACGCATTATCCGCGGAGCGGAGTCGCCGCATTCCGTACGGATCGCGTTCGTGTTTGACGCGTTGACTGCCGTGTCGGTTTTAAATATAGGGTAATCGTTCTTGACGACAGGGAACTTGTTTTAAATCTTGCAACCTTTAAGTTTATTTGCTAGCAAACGTAGACATTTTGCGAGGGTGTATGTATGTTAAGGCCAGGGAAAACCCAACAACGGTATGTTAAATGAGATCTTGGACATCCGTGTCCTCGAATACTTCACCATCTAAATTACAAACAGGTACCTACGTATAGACAGATTTTATTTAAACGATTACCATCTTACTTCGAGAGATAATCGTTACTTTTAACGTTTGCAAATTTCCACGGTAGAATGCCCCCTTAGAGAAAATTCAAGAACCATTTTCCTCGAAACACCACTTACGTATGCATGCCATAAAGCGCCACGACGAGCGGCGCGAACCGAACCGAAACGCATCAGCGTTGCGCATGCAAGCTGCCGCGGTACTGCCACGGTGCGTGGCTGGAGGAACGCGGCGGATAGACACGACGCGCCAGACACAAAACAGCCACTTACGGATTATCCGTGGAACGGAGTCGTTGCATTCCCCGGGTCCCTGTTCGTGTTTACACGAGCTAGGCAGCCACTTCTCGCCGGAAACTCGGCAGCGCCGTGAGTTTGCTCTGGTCGTGCTCGTGACGAGAGGAGAGGCTTCTCTCGCATGGGAACGCAAAAGACGCTCGGTGGAAAAGGCTCTCGTCAAACAAAAATGGGACCCCCCTTCGCTTTTATTGCGGGTTCTAAGTTCCCTTCTTCTCTCGATCGCCTTCTTCGGCCTACCGTGAGCCATGCACGGCCGAATGGCACCTGTGACGAAAAAATACGGAAGAAGGTAGCTTTCGTCAAAGCGACACTCGATAACGGAACGGTTAGGCAACAGTTGGCTAAGTTGGCCAGCCAAAGGCGCTAATAGCTCGTGAAAACGGTAGAGAGCAAAAGGCTGCTTTCATCGATGCGAGCGACGCCGTTGAAATTAGATAAGAAGCTACTTCCGCCATAAAAAGCAACTGTGAGCGCTAGAAGGAAGCTAACGAGAGGGAGAATATCGCCAGGCGAAACGGAAATTGTTTCGTCGACGTTCGCGCGAAGTTTTCCACGCTCGCGGAGATGGGAAACGGGGCGGAAACCCTGTGGAAAAGGAAGAGGAAACCGGTCAAAGAAGGAAAACGGCGCTGGGGTGGAAGATGGTATTACACACTTATTACTTCTGCAGATGTGCGAGCGAGATATACGATGGCAGGATTGCGAAGAATGCGCGTAACTCACGGTCGAGTTGTGCCCGTGGTAATAACAGCGAGTTAATTGCACGGTGGCGAAAGCTGCGCTGGATGACGCGGAAATCCCGCTACCCTTGCGAAAAAGTGCGTTGCGCTTTCTCTGGAATGCGAATTAGAGATTGGAGCCCTGTAAAATTCGAAAACGAAAGAATACCAACAGCGAAACACGAGCGATTTCCCTCTCGGCCAACGAAAGGAAACGTGATGTAAACAGCTTGCGCGGTAAACCGTCTACGGGTTCGAACAGCTCGCGCCACTAGCGAATCGCTCTTTAATAATCGTAATGATGAACGCGTCAGGCCATAATGGCAGTAAAATTACGTGCATTTTTCACTCGCGCACCCGTGCGGAAAAGTGTGTTCGGATGCCTAAACGCGAGCGAATGTTAAAATGCCGACGTAGAGGGAGAAAGAGACGAACATCTCTCGAGAGCTCGGGGCGCTCTGGTCCGATGCGATCCTTCAAGAAGATATTATAATACCAGGGGAATCGCCGCATCTCGCCGTAATGCTCGTTATTACGCGCTGCTGAGCGATCGAGCGATCGATCGACACAGAGGGGACGTTTCAATCGCGACGCACAACCCGCGGGATGGGCAGGATAAATGTGGGGGGTATTCTGAATACCTTGATGGACTCCTCTGGTCTCTGGGCTCTCGCGGCACGGTCGAACGGGCCCTGTCTTCGAAAAATCGCTTGATAGTAGTCATTACGGGAGGAAAAAGGATCAGCCCGACCGCAAATTGGACCTTAACCCTCGATTCTTGCATACTTTGCGGAATGTGTCATTTCGCGGGGATGTCGCGTTCTTAGCGAGAGGCCAACGGTCACTTTTCTCATTGCCAGTGCTTTCTGTCACGCATAACCGTGTCGATGAGCCCTTTTCTAACGGCGCAGACAAGACTGCTCTACTCAAGGAATTTTTCAATGAATGCGCACATTAATCTATCAATTTATCATTCCCAGTCTCTAACTGAATTTTTCCTTTTTGTTTCAGGTAAGTCACTCAACTTTAACACGGACGAATCCACAGCTGATTCCCAAAGAAACTTCTCACCGACAGGTATTTTTCCAATTACTCGTTCCTAACAAAGAATCATTAGATTATCTCACATTAATTGCTTCAACGTGTATTTAAGGTGGGAGTAAAGTACGAGAGTACCCTCCTTTGATCTCTCGCAACTTCTCTTTCTACTACTTCTTCTATCGCCGGATCGGCTCGCGATAAAAGTGTGCAACTACGCGGGGCAACATAATTACCGCAGAACCGTCGAGATTGAGCAATTTATCGAATTTTCCAGCGAACGAGGAAACCTTAACCGAGGCGATAACGCGTTTTTTCTCATCGGAGTCGAGCACGATAGGATCGCATTAGCCGAGGACGGAGTCGAACGCGTGAAATTCATACCGCGAACGTCTTCGTAAATTCCGCAAAACCGAGAGGGTTTCAGCGAGCGTGGGGAAACGAAGGGGGGAAAAGGGAACAGAGAACCGGTCGATCGAGCGTCGGGGCGAATTCCACGGAATCATCGAGTGAAACGCGAATTGCCGGTGCGAACGAACCGAATATGGCGGAGGGTAGCAGAGCGTCGTGGATTCAGGTGAAGACGAGGAGTCGGGAGGTTCATCCTCGACCCCACGTAATTCTAGCTCAGGTAGATCTATAAATAGAGACCCGTGCACATGATGCCGACCTGTTGCTCGAGCACCCTCGTGTGAACGTCAAGGCCCTAAGTAATCGAACCCCGTTGTTCCTGAGAGTATCCTCTCTGCCGTGCCGCCTCACGTTCCATCGTTTCATCGTGCCCAAAAGCACTCGCCGCTTCGAGAGGTCATTAGGCGTAATGAATACCCGATAGCCCCTTAACCCGCAACATAATCGCCTCGCGGAGTTCTAAACACGGTCGAGAGCTCGGTCTGCTCGCTCGCTCGATAGCCTTTCCGCGGCTTTGGCCCGTGCTAATGATTTCTCTGGTAATACCAGCCGCCTCCATCCGCGCTCGTTCGACGTTTTAGAGAAATAACGCGGCGACTGCGTTCCTTCGTTTTGCAATTTATGCTGTTTGATACCGAACACCTTGACTGATGTTACATTTCATAATAACAGTAATGAGCGGGAATCGGTGAATAGCTGGGAATTATCAGGCTTGTGTGTTAGCACCGAAGAGCTCGGTGGATCCGACTGATAGACGCGGCACTTATTTTCCGAAAGAATTTATCATCGCTGTTTGGGGTTGTAGAATATTTCGCTAAATAAAACGCGCAAGTTTTAAGTCTTCTACTGAGGTAATATATTTAAGAAACAAAAAAAACGAAATTTGAATACGTGCGATTTACAAAAAGGTGCGAAAGACCCGGTCTACTCGGTCTTCCTCGACATTCGTATTTCGCTGTTTAGGCTGAGTCGCCTTTTCCGAGACGGGACGAGTTCCCAATCGAAGCGACCGCTTGTTGGCCGTGTAACCAATCTCGAATCGCTCGTCTACGCGAAACGTAGGACCAAACACAGTTCCCCGGTGAACAACGACTCCTTTCGTGCTGAGATTGCTCGGTGATGATCGCGTAACGAGCCGCTCGCCGTCAACCTGTCGGATGGCCGCAGGGACCAGTCTGGAACTGTTCAGTACTTGGCACGCGGAAGTCCTTCAAGGGTGAAACGAGACGAGGCCTCTCGAAAAGGATGAGTGGAAGAACGAAGCCCGGCGATAATTCTCATAAATAATCACGCGGATGGTTCCCAGGACGAAGGTCTCGGTCGGGCAGGGTGATTATGTTCTTGCAGTTGAAGCGTCGTTGTAGGGGATAGCTTTTAGTGCAGGTGACTGATGCAAGAACCGTTCGAAAATGAAGATATTGATTAAGGTAAAGAACTTCAGTGTTGACCTAAGGTAGATCTGGTTTCAACTCTCGTAGATTCCATAGCATTGCTAGCTTTTATGATTCTGTGTTCTCGCTTCATTATTGCGAAACCTTCTCATTCGGAAAGTAGTCTGTATCATTTTTTTCAAGGATATTTAGCAAAAAATGTTGACTTTATATTGACAAAATCGAATTCGCTTGAAAGCAGGGTAGGCCTATGCCGCGCGGCAAACTCTTTGGAACGCGCTAGGAGGTGGAAAGAACGAAGGGAACGGGTGGGAGGAGAACGGAGCCTGACTCTGATTCTCATAAATAATAACGCGGATAGTTCCCAGGCTGAGGAAGGTTAAAGGTATCAACCGACTGGGCCCCGACTAATGGTAGCAGGGTCGCGGGACTTTACGGCTTGCATTGTAATTTGCATAACGTCATTTACAGGCTTCACCTCTGCAACGAGTGTCCACCTCCGCGCCGATCTCGTGATCTTTGAACCCGTTTGCGCCCATAAACTGAAACGTGCAGATCACGACGCTCTTGCCCTTGAAGAGAGTCTCGCATCGCGTACACAGACACGTCTCGTGACTTCTTGAAACTTTCCTCCCGCGTCGAACACGAAAAAGCTTTTACGTTCAAAGGACGAGAGAGTCCACTCGAAAATTAACTCCGTTTCATAACGAGGACACCGTTGAGCCGTTAACCTAGACATAGGTAAGAAGGAGATTTTTAGATCCTAATCGCTGGATCCTAGAGCTTTGATAAATTGAGGAAGCAGACTCGTAAAGGTAGAATTGGGGATTCTTGAAGAAACTGTAGGAAGAGATTACAAGGAAAAGTGGAGTTTCATGTATGGCGGGTGAAAGATAGGTAAATGCGAAGAGGAAAGGGATGGAAAGTACGTGGAGTAAAGCAGATAAGGTTTCAGGGAGGTTCTAATCTACTTTAGGTAGACTATCGACTTTCACTTAAGTGCACTTTAGGGAAAACTAGCTATGTCGCGTCAGAGATGGCCTCGTGGAAAGGGTTGAACCTTCGAAATACCACTCGTATCTGTTACCAATCATTCAGTCCAGAATATAGCAATCTTCTCGTGATGCATCAGTCCAAGATGCTCAGAGGTCTCGGCATTAGAGCGTTGGCTGGATTAGAGACACCACCAAAGCTGGGCATCCAGTTACCGCAGGATTCGAGATAGGTCCCAAGCCAGCCTGTCAATTATCGAGCTCCCGGTCGTCGAAACTCAAAGATGAAGCATCGCGACGACTGGGACATCCAGCCTTTTAGGAGAGGCGGACAGGCCCCGTTAGTCATCGAGTCGATACCTCTGCTCCCTCGGTGCATCACCATATCGGAAGTAACCGATCTTTCGCGTCCGTGTCACCGTCCTCGATCCGAGCTGTTTAAACGCGCTTTATATGAAATAGCCGACCGTTACACGCGGAGTCGCGATAAGAGGTCGACGGGAACGGTGACCGTTCCAGCGTTACGCGAGAATCGAAGGATTCCTCGATTAGCATGAGACCGCGGGACGGAAGGCGATAAAACGGAACGCTCTCACGGACGATCCGGTCCGGGTTGAATTATTGGATGTGTTCCAATTAGTAGATACGAACGTTCGGCGGACGTTTTATCGCGCAACATTTCCCGACCGGGGACCAGTTCCGAGGACGCCACGCCGTGTTCGTTCGTGCACGCACGCAAGTCAAGCTGTCGGTCGAATCGCCGATTTGCATAACACGCAATGCGAAATCGAATTAGCTGCACGCGTAAACGGGACCTCCTCAGCCGCGGTCGTATTGGCTCGTTTGTCGTTAATGCAGATTTCAGCCCCGATCGCGAGATCCCGATCTCACGGCCCGCAACATCGGGAATCGTCGAGGCTAGGCGAGGACGCGTAGAGGGGGACATAGGGAACGGGGGCGCGTCTTTGGCTAATCGCGGAACATCGTCGAGTATCAACGACGAACCAGGACACCAGATCCGCGGCTGGAAACACTTCGCCCACGGTCTCCTTGACCGGAGGGGATACGAGGAGTTTGTTCCCAGGTGAAGGTAATCATATTCCGCGTTCCACGGTAATGGTGAACGAACGCAGCCTCCGGGCTCTAACGGAACCTCTGGCACCAGCACCCCATTTCACCGGACCTGTGGGTGCACCTACCTGCACCTTATACCCGAGTCGAACTCCTACGTGGCCGCAATTATCGCGCGAACAGCTGTTATCCGGGACAGGAGAGGCTCGCCGATCGTTATCGGCCTGTTGTTTCTAACTGCGGTTTCTAACTGTCCCGTCCTCCGAGCTGCTAATAAATATCGCCGACATGGACTCGCCTTGCCCCACGACTCACGGATTAGTCCCTTGAACGATGCGTTTCGTGACCTTGGGGTTGTCCATTCGTGTTCACGATCCACCATAGAGGGTGGAACGAAGCTATAAGAATTTGTAATCGAGTCTAATAATACCAAAAAACGCACGTTTCCAAAGTTAGATTGTTTTATGTAATGCGATTCCTGTTCGCACGTTTTGCAACGAGATAGCGCAGAATGCAAAGGGTTAGTGTCTAAAACTTATGCACCTCTCACGCGTCATTAGGTCTTCAGCAGTCGCGAGTGATCCGTATCGCTTCGTGAAATCAGTCTTTAGGTTGCGCCACGGTCGTATAGAGAGCGCAAGTGAAATTAGTCGCGGTTCGACGAGTGCCAGTCCACAACCGTGTCCTGCAAGAAGGAAAGTAACGCGACTCGCGACGAATCAGGGTGGATCGACACGAATGCCGATCTGAAGGAAAGGGAAAGACAGAGGAAAAAGGGGACCGGGAGAAGCGTGGCCGACGAACACCGCTTCTATCCGCTAAAACGACGCGCGCGCTTGCATTTTCATTCACGGCGCGTCGCCGCGTGGGTGTGTCGTTTCCAACTTGTCAACGTAACGGCGCCCGTGGCTGTGTTCGACGCGCATGCACGCACGCTCGCCAGGGAATGCGATAATAGGACAATGGGACGTGAATTTCATTGAATTTCGAAGGAAATAGGCGCGGGCAGAAAGTGCCGGCCCTTTTAATTACACAATATGATTGGAACGTTCCGTCGCAGGGCATTGAGCACCTGCGTGGTAGCTGGAAGAGGCACAGCAGTTGCCAGGGAATGCAAAGTTACGCGTTAGTATCTTTCTAGGTCATAACTTCTTCGTCGGAGTACCAGGTACTCTTCACGAGCACTCGGCTACCCCGTAGAGGTGCGCGCACTTGTCAATGCGAGTTCATATCCATTCACCGAATACCTCGGTTCAATGGGCCGTAACTTGAATACGCAATGACACGTAGATTTCGCCGGTTCGAGAGTTCGCTTCTAGCCAAGCAACCGGGATGGTTGATCGTTGTTTCTCGACGAGTCGACGATGGAAGGAGTTCGTCCAACAAGCGCGAGATTCGTCGGGTATTTTACAGCGGCGTTAACGAGCGGGCGTACGCGAGCTTAGGTGTCACGAGTCGCGAGTACCTTCCACTTGATCACAATGCGAACGATGGAGGAAGCATGGCAGACGACGGGGAAAAGATGAAGTAGACGGGTGGAAGAGAAACTACCCACGCTCTTTTATCTCGGTGGGCCTTTGTATTAAGCCGCTGTTGCAACTGGTATGCGCCGGCATCACCAAAGTCCGCCTTCCCTTCCTGTCGATTCATCTTTTTGTTTTTCGTTCCTCCCCCCACCCACCGAACCTCTCCTTTATTCCGATAGATCTATGAGCTTCGTTTCCAACATACGTAATTCGTTCTCCACGCGACCCTTGTCCACTTTGGCGGTTCCGTCCGCCTCCGCAGCTCGAACCCCGAATGGTCATCGAACCGCTTACCTCTGCGGTCCGCGATAGATTTAATGGCACTCGTAACGACACGCTTCGTAAATTAGCGACTTTCAGTCACGCCTCGCCCGGTACCGAAATACGCGTGTTCGTTCGCACGATGTCCCGATCTGCATATCGCGTGAATCAACCGGTCAAAGTGCGCAGGCATGCGATTGGCTCGCGTCCAAATCGTAGTTACCTCACGTTCAGCTGTCCGGAGCGACAGTTACACCAAAACGCCACGTGACGGGATAAATGCGACCTTAACGTTCAGCGGATGTGTGTCGTTACACTTCACGGGTCGATAAAAATAGAAACGGAGAAAAAGTACGAGGTCTTCTTTTGGATTGTTTCGAGATCACGTGCGTGGATATATTTAAGGGGGTGCTGTCGAGAAGAACTCGAAGAAACCTTTCGAGTCTAATGAAACGATTCGCGATACCGTTGACTCACGCTGAATTGTAACACATTCGCGGATTCGAGGAGGTACAGTTAAGTGAATCAGACTAACGGCACATTTTTCGTGGTTTCAGGAAACGGAAGAAGAGTGCCGACATGTCGGCCTTGAGCGCCGGGACTTGTCGACCCGGGATTATACTCTGTCTGACCGTTCTACTGGCATCGCAATCTAATTCTGGTGAGTTCTACGGCAAATCCGCCGATAAGCTAGACTAGGTACGCCTAGACCAGCTCCGTTGGGTCTCTTATCTTCGGCTCGGTTTTGCTTCGACGCCTCTAACACGCCCGACGCGTCGAAACGTAACTCATTTGGCAGCGAACAGGTGTACGTGAGATAGCATGAAAAACCAACCTCGTCGAGGAAGAGCGTTCCTTTCGGCTAGACTGTCCGTTCCCCGGATAGTCGGCTTCGGGAGAAAAAAAAAACAATACCACGACCATCCTAGCATCACTAATGGCTCGACATTGATGAATACATTTCAATTCCTAACTCGGATTAGATACGGACGGGTAACGTGTTGCTCGAGCGGAATCGTTCTGCCTTCGATCGTCTCAAGTTTCTACGAGAGTATCGCAGATAAATTCACGGTTACGTCTTGTTGAGTTGTACGATTTATATTTCTACAGCGTCGGCAGTTACAATTAAGATTTATGAATTATATGCATCATAAACTACTAGATGGTGAACAAAAAAGTCAGTAAATTTGGGTGCCTCAAAGTAAAAGTTCAACTCAACCCTTGTTTGGAACCTATCGCAAACACAGAATTTTGCTAGCATTTGGCAATGATCATAGCAGCCTTCCCGAAACTAACCAAGGTGACTAACGTTGCCAGCCGATATCCGAATGAGCCACGTCCACTCAGGGCGTCGAACCTATCTTTGTCCTTCCCCTGCCACCCGAGGAGAATAGTCTTACCTCATAATGCTCACCTCTCGGCACGTCGGGTCCCAAGGTGCTTTCCCATGGACCTGGCACGCCATATTCGTTCCTCGACGTTCCTCCCAGCTCGGTCCCAAAGCAGTCTTCTCCATCACGAGCCACGCTCTTCGAGGTATCGGTACACGAGCCTCTTCCGTTTACGTCGAGCCGGTTTCGAATTACCCATGGACTCACCCTGCGTCCCTAGCGATCGACGATCGATCGAACGCTGCCGATCCACGGGGGATTCGATCGACAACCGATTAGCCGACGCGTCGCGTTGGAAATTGTTCGAAAAGGATGGAATTACTTTCACCTGCCTGGGTGATTGCGTCACGCCAATCTCCAGGGTCAAGTTCGTGGGAAACGACCAAGCGACAAAACCAAGCGTCAAGGTTCGAAAGTTCGAAAACCGACATTAATTTCTTGCCAACCCAATAATAACGAATAGAGTCTTTTTTTTTTTATCCAAAACGTGTCTCTCCGTAAAAGACGCTCTCGTCGAATGTTCTCCAGTAGTTCGCGCTCCTTTCCACCCCTGCCCCGTTACGTCCCTGTTCATTATCCCTGCCTCAGTCATCCCTTTTCTACGATCCATCAACGCCAGCCTGAAATCGATCCTGTTTCCCGCTGTTGCGCACAGGGCGCGTATGGTTCTCGGAACAGCGTGCTACCTCGAACGCATCGACGTGCAAAAACGTAGCATCGTCAATGAGAGCTCATTGAAGATGCGTCCTTTTTGCCGTGCCCCCCACTCTGGCGGCAATTGGTTGTGGCTAATTCAACGAACAGCAGGTGTGGATAAACGGACGGGAACGGTTCGAATTCTTCTCGACTTCGTCCCTTCGTTTCTTCCTTTTTTCCAGCGGCTAGGCGTTCCTGTCCCTCGCGAGCAAATCCAGCGTCCTTTTTGCCGCGGTTTCCCTTTCGAGCCTCGAAAGATCGACAGCGATCCCATCGATCCCTCCTGACGGCTCGTGGTTTTCTTCGAGGACGATCGGCGCGCTTGAAAGACGTTCGCGTTCGCGGAAAAGATCGATATTCTCGACGTATTGCCGTCAGGCTGTCGAGCACATAGATCAGCGATCCTCAACTTGATCGTTGATGAACGTTATTGGACTTATTGGTCGGTAAGTTCTAATAGTTCCCGAGACTTGCGGATAATATAGTCCACTTGGAAGTAGCAGCTTCCCATTCGTTTCTACATCGTTCGTCAAAGTTCCTCGAGAATAGTGTGACTTCCTTCTGAACGATGCCACGCATTCCAATATATTTTTATTTACGAGTCACACAATGATATTTGTCATTCTCCACTCGGGAGGAGTAGCTTCTGTAGGACTCTGGGTCGAGGCACCCTATCGAGATTCTATTACACTTCCTATTTCTTTAAACAGAAATTAGCATCCGTTGAGAGTCACTGTTCTAGGCGACAAGAAACCGCGAGTTTAACATCTCGAGCACGTTGCGCTCGTACCCGAACGTTTCTTGTCGCCGAACGATTTACCTGAAATTATTACCACCTCGAGAGAAAACGGTCGTTGAAACGGGATCACACGGACGACACACGACTCCCGCGAGCGCGGCAAAACATCGGGGCGAAAGAATCCAGGAACGTCGAATTCGATGAACGGTGGAATCACGTTAATTCATTGACCGCCGTTATAATCGAGCGTTTATCGATCGTCGATCGCTCGACGTCGACAAGACGAATGTACCTGGAAGAAAGCTGACGGAAAATTGATTTCTTCCACTGGATGGGACCGGACTACGAAATCTTGGACGAACAGATACCCTCGTAGTGGGGGAGAGGCGGAGGATGATGAAAAAAAAAATGTGCGTGGCCGACACACAGCTGCACGAATAGCGGTTCCTGTACTTGCCTGCATCCACGTGATGCTGTGAATTCTGGTCAAACCTGTAAGCCCGTGAAGAGACGGGATGTCACTGACCGCGTACCTCACCGTTGCCCACTTACGGTCCATGTCGCCGCACCTGACCCCCCGAGACGTTCCATATTTATGCCTTAATGCCGGCCAAAGTGTCGTTATCTTCGAGTGTCGTTGAGCTGACGAAGGCTGGCAGCCCGGCGTCGATAGCGCGCCACAGCCTCCGATGCTTCCTGAAAATGTCGGATGAGTTAACAGGCCTGGCGGACGAGTGTCTGGTTTTCGTTGGAATTTCCATCGTGTAAAAACCCACGCTTCCCCGTTGCGAACGCCGACGTCGCGTTCGTCGGGCTCTAAGTAAGTGTAAACTGGAATTTCTCAACTTATCCCACGCGTTCCTAGACTGGTCGTATTCAGATTTAGAACCGGGTAGATACGGGATTTTCCTTTCTAATCGCTCCATGTAAACAAGAAACTTGTAGAAGGGTTACTCCAAAGCATATTTATCGCTTGTAGTGTATTACACAGAAGAATAAATTGTAGTCAGAATTGTATAGGTTAGTGTAAGAAGGATTGAAACAATTTCACGGTTTGGACTCTTGGAGTAGGTCCTCTCCGACAACTGGACGAACTCGGTATATGCACGTAAAATAATTTCCATATCGTATCGCGTCACCTAAATTCCAGTTAGCCTCCAACTTCATTTGCATCGCGCACGCTTGCCCGGTAAACAGGACTCGGTTGTCGAATACATTTAGGCAAACACGTCGGGTTTGCTTGGCTTCGTAGAGAATCTCGGCTTTTGTTTGAGGATGCTCGTTCATCGTTATCGCAATCATTAATTACCAGATGGTCTAACGGCGGCTTTGAGTCCTCTATGTACCTAATAGTGTCCAGTTCTCGCGGCACTTGGCACGACGATGCCGAATTCGGACGGTGCTTAAAATTCGAGACGTGTAAAGCAAACGTAGCGGTCGAATCTTGTTAGCGAAGGTACACGCGGCTCGTACTTATGCAAACACTCCCGCATAATTAGTCGGTTTTCCTCGCGCCTGATGGTTCGCCTGTACGCGTTAAGTAACGATTGCCAAAGATACTTATTATCCCAAAATGTGGGGCCATTGATCCGCGATCGCGAGAGACGGTTTGCTTGAAGGGTACAGTGTTGGAAAATGATCACTTTGGCAATTCTTTGGCTGCTAGAGATATAGAGACTTTGAAGCCCTTTTCAAACGTCGCCAAAGATTCCCAGCATTCGTCCATCTGTCGCCCTGTGACGCAGCGCTACAAGGGACGTTTATCTTCAGCCACTCTATTTACGAATGGCGCTGCTTATCACCGCCGTGAGAATGCGTCCCAAGTAGCTTTCACCTGCAAAAGGAGAATAAATGATAAAGCGGTTGATACGACTCAAGGGGGAATTCTAAACCAGAAGGATGCAGAAAGGATTCGTTGTGGTTGGTGCTTCGCGAGAGGACTCGCGTGTTCCTTCTGTTCTTTCCTCCTCGCATCCTTCTCTAAGCTTTCGAGACTACTCGCAGAGGTGGCGAGGTCAGCGGCGGTCATCCGACGAGGGGTATAACGGAACGTGTGGGTGCTACTCCGTCGTGACACGGATTAAATAATCGTGTTAATTCCTCCTGTGCAGGTCTGGCGGGGCCAGAAGGCCCTGGCAAAGTGACCTCAAAGAAAAACGGCTGAAAAAGACGTAAAACACAGGTCTCCCTGAGGATTCACGTTTTCAGGTCGCGGCATAGAATCCCCTCGGAGAGTAGCCTGCGGGTTAATCTAGGAGTACGTTTGCACCAGTCCGCGCTGGAATATTCATTAACTCGAAGACTGGCTATCCTTGTACTCTAAATGGTGATGCGCATCGTGTGCCAAGTGTAAAATGATTTGACAGGCGGTAAACAGCGAGGAATAGTTCTGTCATCGAGAAGAAATGTACATTTCTAATGCAGCGGAGAGATATAGTAAGACTCATCTAGAATGACCCAGAAGCGCGTTGGGTGTTGTATTTCTTGAATCTCGACTGACTTAGCGTCAAGTTGTTTGTTTAAACATTTTTACAAAATTCTATAACATAGAACCATACGTCTTCCGTAATGGTAATAATTAGAAGCAAGATCGATACCAGGGAAGAAAGGAAACGAATACTTATCCATTGTACTGTTCGAATCGTCTATCTGCCAGAAGAACAACGCGTATACCGGACTTCAGCACTCGAGAAAATTGTTTGCGCGGCGAACATTGAAATATTTTCTGAATCCTTCGACAATGGCGCGTGAATGCCGTCGTTCAATCACTCCCGTAGGAAATAACAGTTAATCGTTAGAAGTTGGTCAAGCAACTTGTCCAGCGACTCCATCTTCCTTTTGTCGATCCATCAACGCCAGACGCGCAGCGTAGCCGGGCGGCAATGAACTCGATTGAAAATAGAAATTAATTTATGATTGTCCTCGAAACAGTGCCGGCGTTGCAGGCGAACGCTTGCATATTACGGCAGAACCGGTCGGTCAACATCTTGGACGCAACACGGCTTGATACCGATGGCATTGACATTGACTGTTGGAAGACCGTGAACGTCCCGATCAATTATGAGCACATGACGACATCGTTTATCGGTTTCGCGATCTCTGTCGCCCTGCGAGGCGTTGAAGCGACATTCTGAATCGTAATCGGCGTGCAAAGGTTACGGAACGTGTCGTGCAGCTTCTCACAGATAACGCAGACGTATACTGAAACCCTGAACTATCGACTGGTGAGATACGAACCTCCCGGAGGGATACAAGCTCCTGCAAACTGGTCGGCTTGCACTTTCTGTCAATGGCTCAATTTTCACTAGAATTTTAGATGGGAGCTACTGGGAACTTCGAAGCGATTTTACGGAGGTTATTTCTAATACAGAAATGGACAAAATTATTTCTGAGAGAAAGCAATAACTGGCTGAGCTTGCGACTAGGTATCCTACGAGAGGAATTTTCCAAGGATCTCTTACTTAGATTCTTGATAGATCACCTTGTCCGATGGCCAGTTAAGACGATATTGCCAATAAGTTACAAGGCTCAACAACGCGGACTCGCAAAGCATCGAATCAGTCATCCGACAAACCATCCCCGTCGGTCCAGAGATACCTCACGCAGCCTCCACTCCTCTTCCACGAAGAAAAGAAGAAGCTCCGCGATGATGGCTTAGGACGTTAGTATCCAGACGGCAAAGTGTTCGACCGCGGAGCTATAGCGTTGCAGGACGACCGCAGATCCATCCTCGCAGCCAAACGGTTTCGTCGTAACAAGCCTTTTCATCCGACACGGAGGACGAAATTATTTCGTGGCGTTCTTCATGGCCACCGCGGTGGATTCCACCGCGACGGTTGCGGTGCCGGGTAACCGCGACCTTGGAGGACTAGCAGTGCAGAATTTCGTGCACGCGATACGCGCCGAGGAGCAGGGAGCCAGGTGCTCATCGGAGCGTGTGCGGTTGATGGTAATGAACTTTCGCAAGGCAAGGCCGCCAGGGATGATTTCATAACGCGCGCGCAATGTCGTCGCTCTCGCTCGCTGCTGTCTTCTTTCCACCGGGTTCCTTCCTCTTGAACACTCGAGGATCTAGCGATGGGAATGACGCGGAATGTCATTGGTAGCGGTAAATTGATAGGAGAGTATCGCCTGCGGGAATATAGAAATATAGTCGTTATTGACCGTCTGATTTTGGAGCCGGATTCTTTAGACAATTGATAACTTAGTATTGTCTAAAAATTCGCGGTGAACTTGACATATCCGTTCTCAACTGTCTTCGTACAAAGCATTCAAACAATTTACCACATACTTTCCCACTAAATTGTTTGAGTATCGAAGCCTAATCGTATCAGTTCCATCGCTAAGTGCAGCGTCCGCGCCGGAGCACCTCGAGACAGAGACAGACGCTACTTAATGAAAAGGCAGACGAGGAAAGAGCAAGGTAATCGAAGACCGTTGACTTACATAATGACTGCGAGTCTCCGTGGTGCACGGAGATCTGACCTCGATTACCGTTCATGCAAATGGGGTTTCCAGTCCCGAGGCAAGATCGTGTATATTGTTGAGGACGATAAGGCCCAAGGAGGCCGACCGTTTGTCCCCGATTAATCACCGCCTCTGGAATTCCGCGATCAAAGGACGGAATTCTTCGATAAGCATGGAAATTTCTCGCGGGGAATTCGAGGCGATTGTCGCGGAAACAGAAACACCTTGTTTGCCTTCTCGTCGGCCGCGGGACAATCCCGTTAGCCGTCGATTTATTCCGCTTAATTCATCCGTCGCCTCTAAATCGATTAGGGGCGCATCGAGGACATAGCAGGGAGGCTGGACTACGGTGCACGAAGAACGGACAGAGATAGGAACTGGGACTAGGTATTCAATCAACTTTAACGCGTACTCGTTTACATTTTCTCTTGACCTTTTCCTCCTGGTGAAGCGATAACCAACAACGATAACCACAGGTACTTAGCCCGTTCGGCATAGAGGACCTCGTTAAATACTTCTCGACCGGAGTTGTCGTATTACTCGCTCGCGGCTCGCTCCCATCGCTAACCGGTGCTCGCCTGGAAGGAACAAATAATTTATCGTGGCGCGCGCAAAAAGGCGAAGAAAAAAAAAAAGCAGCCGAGTTTCTTCGCACCTGTTGCTCGAGCCACGTCGATAATCACGCCGGCAGACAATGTAACGGGGGTTCGGCGCAAAAAAAAGCGTAGAGGCGTCAGGGTCGCGTAACTCGCGTAAATTTGCTTACGCCATTAATCGGGCCGGACAACGGTGCGTCCGAGAGTTGTACGAGATTGTAATCACGCGCGACTCGCCGACACCTCGATAAAGCGTCCGGTGCCCTGCGCTGGCAGCGGCGGCCGAACGGGCGCAATAATTTAGCGCGGGCACCGTGCAAGACAAGAATCGTCTCGGCGGAGCGATGTACACACGGTACGTGCTCGGGGCCCGTGTAACGTGGAGGCACGCGGCTTGGGACCCGCTCGTGGGACCCGCGGGACACGATGGGGCCTTCCATTCACGGAGCTCGCTGTGCTTCCCAGTACAATTCAATTCGCTGGAAACCGCCGCCGCCGCCGCCAGCACGCTTCCCGCGCCGCGGAATGCTGATTCTCGAATATGCCTTGTGGCTCTCTCTTGCTGCGACGCACGTACGGAAACCAATGTCCGCAACGCTGGCCGGGTGCACCTTGCGGAAACGCACGCGCCGCGCATTTCAACCTCGCGCCTCCGCAGCCGCGGATCGGCTTCCGATCGACCGCCTAATGGGACCTCCGGATCGACACTCGTCTCCTCCCACGCCTTCCTGCTCACAGGAACTCGACAGTATCGTTCATACGTTATTTCCTGCGATAAGGAAACGGACAAGCTTTTTGCAGAACATGCTTGAGATCAGAATGAAGTTAACCCTGGTGGTGACTCTCGGTTCGACCGAAACAAGTCTTCCTCCAAAATTCGTCACAGGGTCTACCGAAAATCTTTGCAAAGTTTGTAATAAATCTGCCAGCTCGGTGCATTCAATGAAAAGATTATACTGTACATTCGAATCCTGCGTGTCGCGATGCACGTATCCGCGTACGTGTACGTTTTGTGCATTCCAAGGAGTTCCTGGTCGGTTTTCGAAGAAAAAAGTACAAGTAAAAGTTTCCAAAAGAGAACGGTACGTTCGCTCGCGAATTCGTAGACCCTACACCACCTCCGATCCTACGTATCAACGATCGTAGATGCATTTACCTATTTTATATCGTTGTAGCAGTGTAACTAGTCGCGATGACTAGTTGGAGCTATTTTGAGATTTTCGAAGGGATTGGCGAACGATAGGGTCGAGGAAAACGAGCGCCAAGGTACTATCGGCGAACAGAGAGGCTTATTGTGCGAGCAGAAAGAATGGCGAACGATCGCATCCTCGGAGGGTGGCGCGTCGCGTTTTCACGAACAATCGAACTCTCCAGCCCGCGCGCGGCACTTCAATTCCAAAGAAATTGCGAAAACCCCGCGCGTAAGCCAAGAACGGAGTTCAGAATAGGCTCCGATGTGCTGATGCGTGTCTGGACCCGTCTGCTAGCACGTTTTCACGCTAACGTGTCGCCGTAGACCAGTGGTTCTTAACCTTCTCGAGCTCGCGATATGATTGAAAAATTCTTTGTTTTTCTAGACTCGTAACACAATCTAAAAAGAGAAAGAAGGAACGAAATATACGACCTTTAATTGCTATCATTACATCTACTTTAGGCGTCATATTCGTTTACATTATTCAATATCGCCGGATCCAACCAAACACTATCGCAAACCTACTCGGACAGTATTTCCATGGAGAGAGTATATGTATACGTTAGCAGGAATCAATATTGCCGCCCAATACATCGAAAAGTTTCACTTCTCTTTAACGAAGCATAGAAAAGCATTCGCAGTAATTTGTAGCGGTCCGCGCGGCAGCGTCACGGTGGTTAAGAATCACTGTCGTAGGCAAAGGGAACAGGAGAGAAAAATACAGATGGAGAGAGACGGAGAGGTCCAGAGAGAATTCTGTATTCCATGTGCACTCGGCATACAATTCGTTCGACTGGGGCGAGGGTGTTAACGAGAATTCGCCCACGTACGCTCGCGCCATATGACGCTTTGACTCACTCCGTTGTTAGAGCCGGCTCACCCTCCGGCCAAACGCATCCCGTCGGTAATTACTATGATAAACTGCATGCACAGGAGAGACACAACTCGTTTCCCTACGAATTTCATGGGAATTGGAGTTCCTGAGATTGCATCGCCTCGCGAACCGGCCCGAACGTTGGAATTCAATGCTCGCGCAGACGAGAAACTCGAACGGGTATCGATCCGAATCTGCCAATTGCCTGTATTGTCGTTGCTTCAATGGCAGGCAATTTCGAACTGATTTTGTAGCGTGTGGATTGGGTCTGTTCGCGAATGGAGCCCCTCGTGCGGTTTCGTTACCCTCCGCCTCAATTATCGAGTTTGCATCGATCGATATTCGCGAACTGTTTAACTAATTTTTGGCTGGAGGATTTTATTCGCTGGCAGCATTCAATTTAGTGCAAGGGTCGGGCAAGATGATGTTGAAAAGAACAATAGATTGGAAAAGGGTGGAATTTTCTGCGATTAGGATAATATATACGTCATACGAAGAGTAACACCCTTGTTATTTCTGTTACAGCGCCAGTACTCGACCACGATGCCACACAAGTTGCAGAATACGACGGAGGTATGTACAGCGCGGCGAGTTTTATTACTCCTAATCGATGTACGCGCACGCCACCGACGTGACGTTAATTGTATCGCAACCGAACAGACAGCACGTGCCGCCTCGACCATTCTTGCACGGCACCGCTTTCAATCGATCCTTTCGATGAATATTAAAATCGTTCAACACCGTCTGATTATCGCGTCTCATAGTTGCGGGACCGAAACACGTTTCCTGTAGATTGCCAACTCCACGCGATATCGTAAAGCTAACGCGATACATACAATTTGCTTCCCTAAACAACCCCCAAACCATAACTGTTGCATATTCATTCCTGATCGCACAGAATCAGATACGGACGACCAAACATTTACATTTCTGATGCCACGAATTCATCCCTGAAATTATACTCGAACGGTCGATATACCTATCGTTATCGAACTTGGAATTTCTCGAGTCAAAAGGATCTAATTTCAATGTTCGCGTTATCATAGCTTCGGCAGGATGCTACTACAACTACCAGCGTTACGACGAAGGCGATCGAATCGTGACGAACGAGCCATGCCTGAACTGCACGTGCCACAATCGGATGCTGATGTGTTACCTGAGGGTTTGCCCCTTCTCGAAAGCGATAGGCCAGGATTGCACAGTCGAGAAGAGACCAGACCAATGCTGTCCCGTGATCACCTGTCCAGAAGTCCCGGTGCAGTTGCTGACGTCCACGACCACAGCACCAGCGGCCACTTCCGGTTCCACGGCGTTAGGATTCCACGACAATTATGGCTGCAACCTTCACGATCGATTCTACGCGGACGGTGCCCAGCTGCCCACCGATCCACAGAATCCTTGCGAGCTGTGTTACTGCATCAGGAACAGGACCACTTGCGTCATGCAGGAATGCACTCTGCGGGTGGCCGGATGCAGGCCAGTCTACCAACCAGGCGTGTGTTGTCCGGTCAAATACAATTGCGGTGAGTCCCTTCGATCGTGCGCTAAATCATAACTTTGACTCATTCAATGGAGGGGAACTCGAAGGTCTGGGCCGTTGGTTATTGCGCATCAGGCGCGGGTAACGACACTTCTTCGGTCCTTTGCCTCTGGGGAGGATCGTTAACTCCATCTAAAATCTGAATAATACTAGAACAGATCAACGTTAACTTCGTGACCCATTCCAATTTCACAAGAAAATTACTAATGTCCAGAACAATTTGACGGATTTTGATGCGGCTTTCTCACCCTTTTATATTTTCTCGAGGAAGGTTTAGGTGTATAAAACATTAATCTATGATAAAGGGGAGTCTACCAGTACCAATTTTAGCGAAGCAAGTGACGAAACAACGACCGTGTGAGCGTTTCCTTGACTCACGCCGGCTAAATCGCTGGCTAATGCTTTTCTATGCCACGCCGAAGATATCTCTAAACAATGTACAGAAGAATTATTCAGCGCATTCATTGTGCTAATCATGGTCATAGATATCTAAATTCGTATGAAAAAGACTTTTAAACTACTCAATAGTATCTACAAATGCTTCTAACGAAGCATTTATATAATTTAATAAAAAGACATTCAAATTTCCCGCAGAAAATTGTGTCGCCATCTAGCGGTTGAAAGGCCGAACTAATTTTCGGAGTACGGTCAGCGCCTCTATCGGGAAAACGCTCAAGTTTGTCCTCGAATAGTTCCTGTCTTCACCGCTAGATGGCGTCATTTATATGGTAATTACCGACATGATGGTAATGTGCCGACTATGTCGGTAAAAACAACTGAAATTGGCGCCATCTAGCAGTAAACATAGGAACTATTCGAGAACAAGCTTGGGCGTTTTCTCGATAGAGGCGCTGACCATACTCCGAAAAATAGTTCGGCCTTTTAACCGCTAGATGGCTATTCATTTGAATGAAAATTGAGGGAAAACTATAATAATTTAAAAGTTTTATAAATAAGTGCTAAGGTTTTCTGTCTCATGCAGCCTAAACCGTTAAAGATATCCATAAATAGTGTCTAATATGGATAAAGCATGCTCTTCCATGACCCTTTCGTATTGACGTCAATAGAAAAAAATTTATTTCCATAGAATGAGCACATAGAATGCTATCATGTACTTTTCCATAACCTTCCATCTTTCTTCAAACAACCATCTTCAGTCTCCAGCGTAATTTTCCTCGTAATTATCTCCAATATTAATCGCCAACAGAATATGACGAGGATCTTGCTACCACGATTGAACCAACGCCTGGCCTGATTATGACCACCACGCTAGCGCCCGGAGCATCGCCGCAATGTTATCACGAAGGAAACGTTTACGAGGATGGCGATCTGATCTACTCGAAGCAGCCTTGTCAGCACTGCTACTGCTTCCGCGGTGACATCGCCTGCGCTGTTCAGAACTGTGGTACGCCCATGAAGACGCACGGAAAGAACTGCACCGCTTTGCCACCGCCGGAGGGCAAATGTTGCCCGACCACGTATCAATGCGGTAAGAAATTCGATCCTTCGTAGCCATTTTCAAATAATTCGGTCACAATTTCAATGTAATTTTATGTATACTTCATTTTGTGCAGATGAAGACGAGCTCATAACGGTGCCAAGAGGCGAGGAGGAGCAATCCACCGAGGAGGGCGTTGTCGAGACCACAATGGAGGCAGTGACGGAAGCTGAAAAGGAACTTCCCGGTCTTGGAAGCACCGAGGAGTCCTTCCCAGGCTTCGACAACGCGATTCCAGAAGATCACAAAGAGGAGAGCAGCACTCAAGGTGTCACGGAACCTGTGCCAATTGGAAAGAAACCTGAGGAAGAAGCGCCCGAAGAAGGACTCCCAGTGTCTGGAGCAACTGAGAAGGAAGCTGGCGTTTCGGAAGAATACACGGAAAGCCCTGTTTCGGGAGCTAAAGCAACGGAACCCGTTGAGGCTGAGACAGAGGCAACACCGGCTGGCGAAGATCGTGGTCAAGAAACGACTGCTAAGCCTGCAGAAGAGACTACTCAAGGACTCGCGAAAACGACAGCTCCTCAAGAAACGCCAGAAACGTCTTCGCCGAAACCAGAGGTACCCGAAGAACAGGTGACGATGAAACAAGTAGAGGAACAACCCGTTACAGAGGAGACTGGGTTAGAGAAGGAACAAACCGAAGGTTCGCAGAAGGAACAACCAACCGAACAACCAAGCACCGAAAAAGCGACGGAAGAAGGTGAGATCGAGACGAAACCTGAAGAACCCGTGACCAGTTTGGAACAGGAGCCAAGCGCCACCGAAGCTGCCGCTCCCAAAGAACCACAGTCAACCGAAGCACCTGAGAAACCTACAGAATTACCTGAGACGTCACCTGAGACACTCCCAGAGGGCACCACAGTTAAAAGCTTAGGGGAAGAACAAATAACGGAAGTGGCTAAAGAAGAAGAAACCCCTGCAGAGGTCTCAGAACCTGAACAGAAGGTCACGACAGTGGAATCGATCGAAGGAAAGCCAGAGGAAGCTGCCACTCCCGAGATAGAAATGACTACTGAGAAACCTGCGCAAGAAGGACCAAGCACTGAACAAGTTCCTAGCGAAGAGGGAGAAAAGGAAACGCCATCGGAAGCATCAACTCCCGAAGAAGGTGAGGTACAAACGGTTACAGAAGCTGAAGTTGAACAGAAGCCAGAGTTAGAGGTATACGATCACAAAGCACCCGAACCTGGCAAGGTACAACCTGGAATAGTTCCCAAGAAGGAAGATGGCATACCTACCGAAGAGCCTGTTATGGTTGAGCAACCTGCCGTAACGGAGAAACAAATGGGAGAAGAGGAAGCTCCTGAGATTCCAGAGCAGGGTCCACCTGGCATTCCCGTCACCGATCGCGTACCTGAAAGCAAAGCAGAAGACAAAGAATCGGTCCCTGAAATTCACGTAACCGAGGGCTCGGTTGACATGAAGCCATCAGAGTTCGTACCTGACAATCTTGCCACAGAGGTTCCGGAGAAGGTTCCCACGACGTATCTTCCACCTTCGTCGGAGGCAACGACGAGTCCTAAGGAACAGGAAGCGACGCCAAGTGAGGAGGGAACTGTAGCACCAACGAAGCAACCCGAAGAACCCTCTGTTACCGAAGGTCCGACAAGCGAGGAGCCAAAGAAGGAAGAAGCTGTTCCATCTGTCACTGAAACGAGCCAAGTTCCTGTTGGACAAGAAGAAGCGACGGAAGGTATTCCTCAAGGTACTGAAGTTAGTCCCGGTCTGGAGGCTTCAACGCCAACTGAAGAGGCTCCACAAGAGGAGACTCAACACCCTGAGAAACCGAGCGTACCTGAAGATCACACCGCTGAGACGCCGTCTTCCGAAGGACCGCCATCGAAGGAGACTTCCGCCGAGGAGGAATTACCAACCAAGGGTCTAACCATCGACGAATCTGGCGAAACTTCCTCCGAGGAAGTCAGCGACTCCAGCGAAGAAGTGACACCTGCTAAAGGCGAATCCACCGAGAAAGAAATGGAATCTGGAGAACAAGCGTCCGAAGCGCCAGTTCAACCTGCTGAAGAACATCCAACGGAACCAGGTGTCGAAGAGCAGAGTACAGAGGGCAAAGAAGCAACCACTGAGACTTTGGCGCACTCGACTGAAGCTCCTCATGCCGAAGAACCATCTACGGAAGTTAGTTCTGTTCCAGAAGAGAAGCCTTCGACCGAAGAAGAGAAACCTGAAGTACAAGCCACAGCTGCTCCGGAAGAAGCTTTGCCAAGCGAGAAGCCTAGTCTCGGCGAGGTGACACCTGAAGAACAGGTTACCGAAAAACCTGTTTCAGGAGAGGAGCTGGCTCTATCTACCGCTAAGCCACCAGAGGCTGAAGAGGGAAGCACGCCGCAGATACCTGTTGGCGAGGGTGAAGCAACCGAAGAACCAGCCGTAGAAGAAACTCCTGAAGAAACAACCGCACCAGAAATCGAAGGTTCGTCAGTGGCACCAGAAGTAGCAGAGGCTGAGAAACCAACTGAAGGCACTTTAATGGTGGAAGTTCACCCAACAGTGGTCTCAGCTGAAGAGGAGAAGCCTGAGGAGCCGGTATCCACCGAGCAGCCTGTTGTCGAACTGACCGAAGAACCGATAACCAAAGAAACATCTACGGTGGCTCCAGAGGAACAGATGACTGAAGAACCAGAGGGTGTACCGATGAAAGAGGAAGCTCAGACCGAAGGTCCTGAATTGCCATCGACCGAGCAACCGATCACGGAAGCTGGGTTGGCGAAGGAAGGACCACAGGCTCCACTCGAGGAGCACAAGCCAACCAAGCCTGCCGAGCGCAAGGAGGATGAATTAAGTGTAGAAGGCACTCAGAAACCATCTCTTGCAGAAGAGACGCCAACTGAAAAGCCGGTGGAAGAGGGAACAGCGACTGAAGAGGCCGAAATACCTGCGGAAGAAAAGCCAACCGAAGGGCCTAGCGAAGAGGAGAAACCAACTGAAAGACCTAGTGAAGAGGAGAAACCTGTTGAAGAAGAGAAACCAACTGAAGGACCTAGTGAAGAAGAGAAACCCGTTGAGGAAGAGAAACCAACCGAAGGACCTAGTGAAGAGGAGAAACCTGTTGAAGAAGAGAAACCAACTGAAGGACCTAGTGAAGAGGAGAAACCTGCCGAGGAAGAGAAACCAACCGAAGGACCTAGCGAAGAGGCAAAACCTGTCGAGGAAGAAAAGCCGACGGAAGGACCTGTTGAGGAAGAAAAACCAACTGAAGGACCTAGTGAAGAAGAGAAACCCGTTGAGGAAGAGAAACCAACTGAAGGACCTAGTGAAGAGGAGAAACCTGTTGAAGAAGAGAAACCAACTGAAGGACCTAGCGAAGTAGAGAAACCTGCTGAGGAAGAAAAACCAACCGAAGGACCTAGCGAGGAGAAACCTGCTGAGGAAGAGAAACCAACCGAAGGACCTAGCGAAGAGGAGAAACCTGTTGAGGAAGTGAAGCCAACTGAAGAGCCCAGTGAAGAGGAAAAGCCTGCTGAGGAAGAAAAACCAACGGAAGGTCCAAGTGAAGAGGAGAAACCTGTTGAGGAAGTCAAGCCAACGGAAGGTCCAAGTGAAGAGGAAAAGCCTGCTGAGGAAGAAAAGCCAACCGAAGGGCCTAGCGAAGAGGAGAAACCTGTAGAGGAAGAGAAGCCAACGGAAGGACCTGTCGAGGAAGAAAAGCCAACGGAAGGTCCTGTTGAGGAGGAAAAGCCTGTTGAGGAAGAGAAACCAACCGAAGAACCTACCGAGGAAGAGAAACCTGTTGGAGAAGAAAAGCCAGCAGAAGAAGAGAAACCAACAGAAGCACCAACAGAAGAGGAGAAACCAACAGAAGGAGTCATTGAAGAAGAGAAGCCTGTTATGAAGGAAGGAGCAACTGAAGCGCCTGCAGAAGCAGAGAAACCAACCGAAGGACCTGTCGAAGAAGAAAAGCCTACGGAAGAACAGAAACCAACCGAAGCGCCTGTAGAAGCGGAGAAACCAACCGAAGGACCTGTAGAAGAAGAAAAGCCTACCGAAGAGCAGAAACCAACCGAAGCGTCTACAGAGGAAAAGAAAACAACAGAAGCTGAAGGGGAGAAGCCTCTTGAAGAGGAAGAACCGACTGAAAGGCCTGCAGAGGAGGAGAAACCAACCGAAGAATCCGTTGAAGAACAGAAGCCTACCGAGGAAGAGATAACCGAAAAACCTGTTGAAGAAGAGAAACCGTCTATCAAGGGTGAGAAACCTACCGAGAGTAAGATTCCAACTGAGGCACCTGGCGAAGGGGAGAAACCCACCGAAGAAGAAAAACCGTCTGAAGCGTCAAGTGAAAGACCTGCTGAAGAGGAGCCAACCAAAGGACCTGTGGAAGGAGAAGAGCCGAGCGAAGTCACGCCTGTCGCACCAAGCGAAGCACCAGTTTCGGAAGAAGTTTCCACGGCAGGTCCAGAGGTCGAAGGAAAACCGACGGAAGGTGCCGAACAAGCCTCTACAGAAGTTCCTAGCTTAGGTGAGAGTCCTACCACGATTGGAGCTAAAGGAGAACCTGAAGTAACACCTGAAATTTCGAAAGAAACTCCATCGGAAGAAATTCCATCTACAGAAGAAGCTCAAACAGAGGCTGCTGTACCACCAGAACAACAACCCGAAGTTCCTGCCTCCCCTGAAGAAATGACGACTGAGCCTTCTAAACTAGCTCCTGAGCAACCTGTTGAAGAGGAATTGCCAGAAGGCACTCAGAAACCAGGGGTATCTGAAGCATCAACGCAAGCAAGTTCAACCGAAGTAACGAGCGAACAAGGTAAACCTCTGGAGGAAGGTGTCAGTACAGAGACCCCTGAAGTATCTCCCACCGAAGCTGGAGCCCCTGAAGCGTCCACAGCGCCTTCCGCAGAAACGACACAGCCAGAAGAGGAACAGAAGGTTACTCTTCCGGAAGAAGCCCAAACTGAGGTCACCCCATCGAAAGAAGCACCTACAACGGAAGCTCCTCTTGCGAAAGAAACGGAAACTCCAGCTGTACCAGAGGAAGTATCGACTGCAGAACCAGCCAAGCCTGAAGAGGTTCCAGAAACCACGCCGCATGCAGAAGTACCACCAAAGCCAACAACCGAACAAGCTTCCGAGGAACCTTCGACGCTTGGACAAACTCCAGAAGAGGAAACAACGTCGGAGTATCCAGTTCGAGCGCCACCATCGATCCCTGGAGAAGGCAACTGCCTCGTCGAAGGACAGTCCTACAACAACAACTCAGCTGTTCCTCCCGCCAATCCCTGTCAACTTCAGTGCCGTTGCGTCAGCAGTATTATCCAGTGCGATCTTGTTCAGTGTCCACCTCCACCGAGCCACCTGTCGAACTGCATGCCTATTCACACAGCCAAGGATTCCTGCTGTCCGATGTACACTTGCGACTCCACGCCTACGGCGGTATTGGAATCCGATAATCACATGATCGAACAGGAAGCAGGACAGAAGACTGAACCACCTACCGAGGCTCCAACTCAAGAAACCACGAAGGAACCATTTGTCAAGGGCTACGAAACAACTGTTGCGCCTGAAGCACCAACCACGTTGAAGTCTGTCGAACCTGAGCAACCGACTACAGCTGCAGAGCCTGCCAAGGTACGCGAGGAACAAACCATCAGTTCAGTGCCAGAGGCAGAGTCTTCTAGTCAAATTCCTTCGGAGGAACCGAAAGAAACACCGGAAGTACCAAGCACGGAGAAGCCTGTGAAGGAAGAGGAGCCATCTGCCAAGGTGCCATCTACCGAACAGCCAACCGAAGGACAGGCTGCTGAGGAACAACCTTCGAGTCCTAGCATTGGCGAAGAGCAAGCAGTTCCGACGACACAAGCAGGCGAGGTTGAAGAGACTTCTGCTGGAATTGGCAAAGAAACAGCTGCACCCACTACTGCGAAACCCATGGGAGAAGAGCCATCCGAAGAGGAACAGAAGCCTGCAGAGGGTGAGCCAGAGGCGACTGTTGCCCCTATGGTTCCCGAGGAAGAAGTGAGCAAGGAACCTGAAGTCCCAAGCTCGTCTATAACACCAGAGCTTGCAGTTTCAGAAGGTCTGCCATCGGTTACCGAGACCCAGAAACCATCGGAGGAAGGAACCACTGTCGCCGTGGAAGAACAACCTGAGGAACCCGCTCAGCCTGAACAATCGACACCCGAAGGCGAAACTGTCCAACCAAGCGAAGCAGAAACCGAAAGACCATCTGCAGAAACGCCTGCTCCAGGCGGTGTCAAAGCTGGCGAAGAACCCGAAGTCACCCCAGCGGAAGAAGAATCTGTTCAACCTACGGAAGCTGGAGCACCAGCAACGGCAGAAATGGGAGTCTCCACGGGAGCTCCAGTATCTGAAGAAGCAACCGTTCCCGGCGTGACTAAGGAGGAAACTGCTACTGAACCAGCTGTAGAAGAAGGCTTGCAAACCACCAAGAAACCACTTACTCCTGAAGAGGGACAGACAGTACCTGTCGAAGCTGAACCTTCGACAGCTGCACCTGCAGTTGAAGAACAGACCAAAGAAACGCCTGAGGCTGAAGTGAAGCCAACTACGGAAGGCGTCGAAGAATTGTCCACTCAACAACCTGAGAAACTCCCGGAGGAACAGTTGCCAAGCTCAACCGAGGCACCTGAAATCGTCACCGAAGGACCAGCACCTTCTCTCCCCAAACAAACTACAGAAAAGGAGGAAGTTAGCGAGGAACCAGCAGTCGAACCGAAACCTGAGGAAGGTGGTGTGCAGCCTGGACAAGAGGAATCTGGGAAGACTCCATCGCCGGAAGGTCAAACTCCCGAATCTGTTTCGCCTGCCGAAGAAGAAGCTACACCATCCGTAATGCCTCAAGAAGAAATCACGGCAACACCTGAAGCGGCCAGCGAGAAACCTGTTTCAGAATCGATTCTGCCTCAGGAGGAAGTTGAACAACCCGCGACTGAAAAAGAAACAATGATTCCTGGCACCGAAGAAGCTGTTACCGTTGGCGTCAAGGAACAATCGGCTCAGCCGGAGGAGCAACCGACGACCGTAGCATCCACTGCTCCAGTTGAAGGCGAAGTGTCTGAAACTCCGAAACCAATGCTTCCAGAACAGATGCCAGAAGAACAGGGACAAATGACAGAGGCACCAGACACTTCCTTGAAGGAGGGAACAGAAGAGCCACTGGTACCAAGCGAAGGAGAAACCACCGTGCCAGTTGTTCCCGTTGAAGAACAGAAACCAGAAGAAGGAACTCAGAAACCGAGCGTAGAAGAGGGTGTAACATCTACGGAACCAAGCAAGATTGCTACCGAAGGTGAAGTTACTGCCACGGGTGAAGAGCAAGCTAGCGAAGCACCAAGTTCGCCAGCCGTTGAAGAAGGATCAACGCCACTGCCTGAAAGTGCCTCGATCGTACCTGAGCAAGGAATGGAGGAACAGAAGCCTGTTGAAGGTGAAGGTGTAACCGAAGAGAAAGTGTCAACTACGAGCGAAGTTAGTCCAACGCGTGAGGAAGAGCCATCTATGATGGGCGAGAAGCCTTCGGAGGAGGGCGTATTTGAAGCAGGGCAACAAACTGAAGCACCATCTCTTGATAAAGGAACAGGAGCACCGCAAGAGGAGGAACAAGTCGAAGGCGAAACAACTCCAGCGGTAGAGATCAAGGGAACGACCGAACCCACACCTACAACTAGCGCCGCACCTATCGAAGTCAGCTCAACCGAAATGCCTGAAAAGGCACTTCCCAGCGAGGCACCAGGTCAAGAGCTCCCCGAAGTATCGGAAACACTCCCGACAGAGGCACCTGTAGAAGCTACCGAAGTTCCTGAGAAGATAGCTCCCGTCACGGGTGCTCCCGAAGAACTTCCTGCCGAAGTTCCGAAGGAAGAGGCTCCGACTGAAACTCCTGAAAAAGAACTGTCCACTGAAGTTCCTGAGAAAGTGACGCCCGCTGAAGAGGTTCCTGAGGAAGTGACTCCTGCCGAACAAGTTCCAGAAGCACCTAGTACAGAGCTTCCTAGCGAAATTCCAGAGAAGATCCCTGGCGAAGAGCCTGACAAGGTTCTCCCCGAAGAAGAGAAGCCTACCGAAGTACCTGAGAAAGTTCTTCCTGGTGAGGAGACGCCTGCTGTGACGGAGAAGGTTCTTCCTGGAGAAGAGACGCCTGCTGTAACGGAGAAGGTTCTTCCTGAAGAAGAGACGCCTGCTGTAACGGAGAAGGTTCTTCCTGGAGAAGAAACTCCTGCTGCAACAGAAAAGGTTCGTCCCGAAGAAGAGAAGCCTGTCGAAGTTACAGAGGAGATTCTTCCCGAAGAAGAGAGGCCTGCCGAGGTAACGGAGGGTCTTCCCGAAGCAGAGAAGCCTGCAGAAGGTGAGCAACAAACGCCACAATCCGAAGGAGAGGTAGAGCTGCAAACTACGGAGAGCATACTCGTCAAGGAACAGTTACCTAAAGAAGGTGCACCAAGCACACCTCCTCAAGCTGAAGAAACATCGACTGAGGCTCCAATGATTAGCGAAGAACCAAGCACTGCGGCGCCCGAGGCCGAAGCAACCAGTCCTCGCGAAGAACAGCCTTCGCTGGTCGAATCGACCGAGGCTCCGATTGTCCCTGAAGAACCAGGGCTCACGGAGGCACCTCTGCCTAGCCAACCATCGGAGGAGGCTCACTCTTCCACGGAATCTGCGCCAGAATCGTCGACGGAGCACGAAACAGAGAAACAACCCGAAGTCGAGACAACCCCTGAAGAAGAGCACACGGTCGAGTCGTCGACGCAACAGTCTCAAGAAAAGAGTACTCCGGAACCAGCGATTCCTGAGCAGCCAGCCTCGATGAAACCCGAAGAGGGTCAACAGATGACCGAAGCCCCTGTCCAAGAATCCGTCACGAAACTACACGAACCGCTTCCAACCGAACCATCGCTCGCAGAGCCATCGGAAGAAGAACAAGAAGAAGTCGGAGAAGAAGGTCTGCCACCTCACGGCGAACCCATGTTACCAGAATCTGTTCCAACGACAGAAAAGGCAGAAGCTGAAGTCGAGGAACCTCTACATCCAGTGAACGATACATCCGAATCCGTCGAACCAGCAGTTCATCCCATCCTTCACGAAGAACCCTCGAGTACTCTAGCTCCTCAATTACCAGAGTACCCTGACCAAGGTGTCTCTGGCGAAGACAATCCTCACTTCCCTCCGCAAGGAGGCAGCTATTTGAACCCTGACGAGGACTACGACGAGGACGATCAGGCCATATACGGGCCAGGCACCTGCAGATACGGCGGCAAGGTCTACGTGTCGGCGCAACAAATACCCAGGGACGATCCTTGCGACTTCTGCTTCTGCTTCAGAAGCGACATCATCTGTCTACAACAGAGCTGCCCGCCACCGATCCCTGGCTGTCACGAGGAGCCCATCAGCGGTTTCTGTTGCCCCAGATACGAGTGTCCGGTGTCAATGGCCACGTCGCTCAACCTGACAACGACCACGACGACGACCACGACCACGTTGCCCCCGCACTTCCACGCCCACGCGTACAAGGGAGCCGCAAAGAGGAGCGGCTGCCAAATCCGCGGCCAAGCGTACCGCGTCGGGGAGGTCATCAGGTCGGCCTCGGGACCTTGCCTTCAGTGCACGTAAGTCGATCATATCTGATTTTACTTTGACTTTTTAACGAGGGTGATTACATCATTGATGAAAAATAGAAACTTATTAAGAATGTATTTGTTTGAAGTTGGTGTTAAAGAAATGGCATCACATTTCAGTCCCTCTAAAGTACAAATACGTGGATCTCTAATTACGAAAGTATAAAAGAATGACTCCTCTTCAAGGGTCAGAGGCCATCTTCTTGTAGCAAGACCATACCGTACCTTTTTCATGAGGGCAAATATTAATACTGTAGTCTGCTAGTGACCTCCTTCGTCTACCGCATCTTAAAATGGACGACTTGTAATTTCAGTTGCGGAGGCGACGGTAACATGAAGTGCGAGCCGAGGGTGTGCAGCCCGGAGCCGATGCTGAGGCAGATGATCGCGGCAGCCACGGCCCGAAGGAGGAGATGAGCCGGCCAACACGATCCCGGTGATCCGGCGAAGAATCGTGCACACGAGGAATGAAGTTTAGAGGGGGATCAGTGTTGTATAAAAGTGAATTTAAAAAAAAAAATATTCTAAACTATCTAAATGTCGCGAAACACAGACAATAATGTGCTTCGACGATCACCGAACTGAGTGGCCAAAACGTAAACGTTTATATTATAATATTATATTATGTTATATAAAAAAAAAAATTAAAGAAAGGGGGAGAGAGAGAGAGAGAGAGAGAGAGAGAGAGAGAGAGAGAGAGAGAGAGAGAGAGAACGAGGTGGAGAGATAGGGGATGAGGATTAGAGCGAGACGAGAGACCGACATGGAAGGTGAAACGAAAGGGACTGAAAATGGGATTTAGCCGCGTAAAAAGCGAGGCTCGTTTCTGGTGCCAAACGTGAACCACAGGGACGAAAGCAACCGGTGGAACTGGATTGGTTCGGGTGGGGAAAGGGGAGGAGGGTTAGTGGATGATATTTCGTGATAGTTCCACGTCTCACGCCATTTTTTACGTGTTTAAACAGTGGGTTACGGTGGATGAGAAAGCGAGGAAAGAAAAAAAAAATTATGAAAGATATGTTTGCCGAACGTACGAGACTTATGACTGTGCCTTCGTCAGTGCTGACACCAGCGGCACTACTTTCGTTCCGTGGCAGCTGAGCGGCTCCGATCCGAACCGCGATCGTCGTCGTTCCCGGTTTCGCTACGGACGAGGAATCGATCGTCGTTCAGAACTAAAAATAACACGGTGACGGGAAACAAACGATAAACGCGTTTCGGCGAACGTGGCAAAAAAAAAAAAACAAGTTCAAGGAGAAAAGAAAATAAAATAAAAATTGGAAAAATGGAAACTCGATGCACGCCGAACCGATTTCCTCGTTGGAGCGACGTCGTAACAGTGATCGACACAAACGCGAACAACGACGATCCCACGGACGATCCCGCCGTACGATCGACGTAGATCCAGATCCTTTCCAAGGCTGGCACGTGCGCCAAACGATCGGTCCACATTTACTCGCGTCTGCTGACGTTCACGCGTGCTCGAACGCGATCGGAGAGAGCAACAATCCGTAACGAACGATACTGCAATCGACGTCGAGCATTCTTTTATTATCGCTTACGCAACCGAATAAACGCAGGTTTCGCGAGCCGACCTCCTGTCACGGGAGTCGCGACAAACATACGCGATTAATCTCTCCTCTCAAGACGCAACGTACCGATCGCGCTCGAGCGTGCGCCCGCGTGCGTGTGTGTGCGTGCGTGTGTGTGCATATGGTTAACATTGATGTGTATCGAAGTAATGAAAGAAAGACACGACGAAAGGTACGCGTATCTCAAAGCTCAAACAGCGGCTCGCGCGGAGGACCGATCGCGAATTTGCTTCTCCGGCGAGCTGGCGTCATTATATATATATATATATATATATATGAGAAAAATATATATATAATTATAAATATATTATACATTTATACGATTCTTTATATGCACTGTACCCTCCTAATAATAATACTTAACGATGTTCTATACGTTTGTACGAAAGTATCATTATTTACGGCAGACGATCGTCCGTCGTTCTCTAGTCTCAGAGTGTCGCGCGGTATCGTATCATTATAAATCTTTGGAAAGCTCGTTTCGCAACCGCCTCCGCCACCCCCGATGTAACGGCGAACAGTCAATTACTTTGATATTCTCTCAGCCAAGCGACGGGGCACTGTCGTGTTCGTTCGTGTCGCGGAGGTGGGCAAAGTTTTATCGAAATAATAGCGATTCTCTTAGTCACTTCTTGTTTAGGATCAATCTGTTCCTCCTTCAACGATTCAAAATCACGAAGCACTTTTGTATCAGTTTAATTTATTATTCTTCTACTTTCCGTTACCTTCCGTCCTATATCGACTCAATTTCTAAATATTTAATTTCGCAATCTTATTGTTACTCGATCAGTTGCGAACAAATAGTTATTGTTTATTTCGTGGAGATTTTGCCCATCGCCGCCCACGCCCAAGGTGGAGCCGAACGCGGGACAGAAAACGTCGCGCTTTGAGACTCCGGGACCTCGAGACATACGTTTAGGTATAATAATAGAATTGAACGCTATTATCGTCGCACGAAAATACTGCGCATGCTGTCTGTATTTATGATCGAACGAAGACGACGAGTCCAAACACTGTCTTCCTGGTATCGCTAAACCCGCCAATTTCATTGTAAGCGCGTCCCGCTTGATTCGCGCGCGATAAAAGTGTTTCCGCGCGATGGAAACGCGCGGGAAACAAATTGTAATAGGGAAAGGGAAACTCCGTCGATTGAAACGCGACCAAAAGTGGTCGCGTTGCGCTTCCAACGGCGATCTAATCGCGATACAAGCCATATAATTATCGTCGCTGTTTCGAACACGAGGTGTTTTCGTAATAATAAAGTTGATAACGTATGGAACACGCTTCCGCCCTTTGTTTCGTGAAACTCGCTGAAAAAAATCGCTGCCCGACTCATCGGTCTGACATTTCTTTCTGGAAAAACGTTAGGCCTAAAGCAATCGTTAGAGAATATATTTAATTTTTAACGAGTCCGGCGACCAGGCGAATCGATCGATTCAGCCAAACCAGTCCGATTGACGATCCGAGCTGTTCGATCGATAGAGATTCTCCCGAACCCTTCAGCATTTATAGCCTAACTTTCTACGGTCGACTCGAGTGCTCTCTATCCCTCGAACGCGCGGACCAATCGACTCGGATCAACTTTGTACATTTCATACAGGTCGAGGATGCACCGTATACAGTATTACCCGCCGCTAAGATCGACTTTACTCCCCAGATCCGAGAACAGTAGTTCCCGCCACTATTCTTCGTCTTCGTCGCGAGAGAGTTTGATCCAGCTTCGAAACGATCCGAGAACCGAATAAGAGGATCGATCGGGCCTCCCTGAAAATTAGCCTTCTTTGAGAGCTCTCGCGACGTTCTTCCCACGATGATCGTTTCTGGCCTTGATTCTCGATCATAGCGTCGGGCAATACCGCGCTTCGATCGATAAAAAAGAGTCGCGTCTCTCTTCCAAACGCGCGATATTACAACTTTCCCGAAGAGACCGCGAATTGAATCTTGACCGTAATTTCAAGTTACCAATTGATTCGCGACGGTTCTCGTTCGCGCTACCGAGCTCGATCGATTGATCGCATACTCGGCGCTTCCACAAATCGAATCGGTTCTTCCCAAGCTAACAATCCTAGTAATTAGTCGAGCCTAGTATTTATCTTAATATCCACAATCACTCATAGCGTATAGTGTACTGAAAGTAATCGAGTATCGAATGTTACACGAACGGTACGTTTATATGATAATACATGTAACTCTAAAGTAAGGTATATTAATTATGGTGAATACATAGGACGATGCATGTAATTAAATAACGATGGCGGGTGGATGTCGGTGTCGGTGGAATGCCTAATCGTTGTTCGAATGCTTTACACGCGACGGGGCGGCATTCTTCGACGCGATTGACGCCATTTTATATATATATATATATATATATATATATACATAAACAAAAGATAAAAAAAAAAAGATACGCACGATATTTATGCACAGAATGACCAATTTTTATCTGGTGCCAATAGTCTTCGAGCAAACAGTGTCCTTCGGGTAATTAATTTAACGACCAACGGAGCAGCAGAGATAGCCGAGTGGATTAAAATTGATCATGCTGTGAATAGCGAAATCGAACACGGCGCTCAGTACGCGAATATACTCAACACAATGCTCGTGATGAATTTCTCGGTTATGTTTTTATTTATTCTTATTTTTTTATTTTCAATTCGACCTGCGACCACAATGACAATTAATCGTTCTCAGCATAATACGTTATCGTTTGCCGCGTATAATAATATGTGATACATAAAGAAACGAGCGAGCCGGGAATATCTCTCGGTGGTCCCGACTGTACGGAAGTAGGCTAGTTTTTTGACAGTACGTGCTAGTATAAAGTGTCCTTTTATATGAATAAATGATTTTGTATGTCACGCCTCCCGTTTATTTCGGTGATCATCCTTCTTGCACGACAGACACACGTTTGAGATTTTTGAGCGAACCGAAAGCTGATAGCAGTCGGGTGGATTCTTATCGGGACAATTATCCGCACGTTAGTTGTGTGTACAACTCATGTTAAAGGCTTAATCAAAGCAAGCCGTTACTCAGAAAACGTCAGAGTCTTACAGATAACGAGGACGATAAATAATGGCTCGTGATTTACGAGTGTAAATATATTCTATTGTTTCGTTATTGCTCGAACGAATCCTGGAGAAAAATTTCGTGAAAAGTTACTCGTTTATCTCATTTGGCGAAAATTTGTCTTTTCTTATTCCTTGGACACATCATAAATGACACCTCTGTGCAAAATTTCAGCTTTCTAGGTTCAAGGATTTAACCAGGGCGTTGATGAGTCGGTGAGTCAGAGTTTTTATTTATATATACATCTTTTGCACTGTTAAATTCTTGTCTGGTTAACAGCTGTTGTTCCACTTAACACTTGAACTATCGAGGACAATGTATTGGTGTTCGGAATACTACTAAGTTTTTGAAATTAAAAAGCAAAAAGGAGCAATTCCATCTATCAATATAATATCCGTTCTATTTGAATAAAACTGACTAGGTTGGTAGTTCTAGTGTCAAGATTGACCCCACTGCTTTACGATTTCGGCAACTTGTTCTCGTTGAAATTGATCGATTCCCAAAACTTCTTCTCCGCGAAGTTATTGTCGCTGGCCATCTTCGCGTTCTTCGGATTTTTTATGTGCAAGTAATAGAACTTCTCTTCATCTGGATCCAGTTTCTTCCACGTAACGCTACTGATCCTAGGTTCTCTAAAATAATTGCATCACACGTGTCATGAAAAGTGTGACAAAAATCAGAATATACAGAACATCTCAAAATTCATAGCAAAGCTAGGGAAGGAACAGTTTCGTGCGAATCAATTCTACCCTGTAATTTTAACTTATTTCTTCTAGAAGCATCAATTGAATATACTTGCCCATGGATAGCGTAGGACGTGTAAAAGTCCAGCAGAAACTGCTGCATGTGCACGTCCAGAGCTCTCGTGGTGCTCGACATCTTCGTACCAAGGATAAGCGCTACGTCGTCGCCTTGGCAGACACCTAACGACACGCCAATCCCATTGAGACGAGTGTTATTTTTGCACAATCTTAAAAAATTCTCAGAAAATTACCGAAATCCTTGGTACTTCCGCTCAACGCCTCGCTTTGACTATACTTCGCCCTGTACGTATAATAATAAGTCCACACAGGACTTCTGTTGATCTTCGCCTGGAGCCTAACAGCTTTCTCAAAATCGACCTTAAACAACCGATCGCCAATCATCTGCACCACGTGCTTGTCCGTCAGGCTATTGATGCTTTTGGATCCCAAGTAATGCTTTCGAGCCATCTCCGAGACATTCTTCTGCTGACTCAACGAAACGGTATCGTTAAAGTCCAACAAAGACGGCGCTATCTTGTCCCAATCGTCGTTCAACTCCTTCAGTAGCTTCCTGTTGTCGACGAATTCTGCGAAAACACGACGTCTGTTTCACGAAAGAGCTAAGATAAGAGGGAAGTCGTTTATTGCGCGATATTAAACCTGCAGCGGTATATAATCCCTCCTCGGCGACGACGCCAGAGATCCACGGGACGTCTAGCGCCTCGCCTCTGTTGATGATCTCGATCGGAGAATCGCGAATGAAGGGACGGGGACACTTTTGCTTCTCGATGACTGGCCCGAATGGCGTGATGGGATTGTACAGCCAGGCCTGTTAAATCAAAGTTTGTCACGAAGAACCGACCTCGGAAGAGAGCTTTCACGCGATGAAGAAGAATTGTAACCGTAAATTACTGATCAAAAACAATGCTATAGGAGTCCGAACGAAACATATGGCACGGAGATTCGAATTCACGTTTGACTCCATCTTTTTCGATATGAGAGGCGCGGATCGGTACTCGAATATCACTTTCTACGTAATTGGATACGAGCCCTTTTTTAACGGGTACTCTCTTCAGATTCTGAACCTTTCTGTTCAACGTCCCGCATAAGTAAAACATAAAAATAGAAAATATTGCGAGTAGTACCATGAAATCGTGAACAGCCTGAGCGATAAGTCGCGGTGGGCGTTCTCGTAAGCAGGAGATCATTTTAGTTGAGTTCTTCGTGGGACACCCCATCAAAGCGCCCAGCTTCTTGGCTTTCTCAGGTGCACGCTCCGTTTGGGGCCAGGGGTCCAGAGCTACGCCGCTTATCGACAAACCACCTACGCGATAAATACGACGAAAAAGATAGCGTAACTTCGAAACTACGTCAAGAGTTAAATGTTAACCCAAAAAATGCAAAGAAGAACGATGAAACGCTAAACCAAGGTCCGTCAACTTTAAATGCATTAGTGCTCGACACTTGGATCAGCTAGACATTTAATAGAAAATGGTGGCAACGTACGTTGGAAGAGTCCAGCGCTCAAAGGCGACAAATAATGATACTGGACGCTTGCAGCTCCCGCGTTCAAGCCAAAAATAGTGACGCTCTCAGGATCGCCACCGAAATATTTAATGTTGTTCGACACGAAACGCAAAGCCATAGTCTGGTCCTTCAGTCCCATGTTTCCAGGTACCACACGGTCCCCCGTACTGAGGAAACCTTAAATTCATTTCGCGATTGGCAGATCACGAAGAGTACGTCTTCAGAATTCCACGACGATCATTTTCCTTACCGAAAGGTCCCAAACGATAATTGATGGCGACTAACACGACATCGCGATCCATCAACAACCTCTCGTTCACGTTGTTTCCGCTGCCATATTGAAACGCCCCATCGTGGATCCAGAGCATTACTGGCAACAGCATCTCCTCGTTGTTTCTAGGCGGTACGTAGATGTTCAAGTACAAACAGTCCTCGCAACCTGAGACCTTATCTCCATTTTTCTGAAGCATGTGGTACTGGGTGCACTCCGAGCCCTTTTTCGTCGCTGGAAGATCCTGTGACCATTTTTGGACCGGTTTGGGGGGCTAAGAAGTCGTTGAAATCAAAATATTCGTTAAGAAAAACAAGAATATTATGTAAAACGTTATATCGCGCAACATATATACTCGATTGTCGCGTGACACGAGTTCCTGACTTTTTCTTGGAATTTGTTTTCACGCAGTTCACCATCTCTGATATAAATTGAATTTTTCCACGTACTTGGAATCGAAGTTTCCCCAGAGGAGGCTGCGCGTAGGGTATACCTTCGAAAGCCTTGTACTTCCTACCATAGTGAGAGATCTTATAGGAGCCAATAACGCCACCCAAGGGTGTCTCGACCCGCAGTTCTGGGCAAGAAGAACTCGCGAGCGCCAAGAACGGTAAAATGATTAACAACTTCATGACAGGAAATTTAAAATGATTGGTAACTTCATGGCACTTCTTTCGAAACTGAGATTGAAACCATCGAGAGCCTGCCTTTTATCGTGCTCCTCGCCAGGCGAGTCGCTATGCATATCCAAAGATTTGCTCAGTTAAGACCGGTGCATTTCAAAGTAATTAAAACGAAAGTGTATACGACGTTCGAAGAAAACAGAAGCACGCTAAAATACAATAGAACTTCTTCGGCGCATTATACAATAATGCATCTTATCTGCTAATTTATCGCTGAGCAAACGTAAGCGAATAGACGGGCTCAGGATGGCAACTTTCGTTACACAAAATGTCTGAAATTTCGACGACGGCAACGGCCATAGATAGCGAAAAATGATAACTGTTTGCATACTGTTTTTATGCAAATAGAGGTATCGATTAAAGACAACATTTCTTCAGAGGTAAATGATATTTCCAGAACAATTGTAAATCACATGGAATTTAGTTTTCTATTGATTCGAGGGTAAAATTTCACTTTATGTCTATTCTAAAGCCCTTTGAAATAAAAAGTATTCATTCTTTTTGAAGGCTTAGCCTTCAAGGTATGATTTCGTTGAACGCCTTGAGTTATAGACAATTCTGAAGCCTTTACATTGAGAAAATTGAATCAATAAGAAGCACGAAGAGGAAAATAATATCTAATTACAATTTATTTCAAATTTTTTACTGCTCAATCGTCGTTATCGTAAACATAGTCAGATCAATCTTGTGTTGTTATGTTGCTTGGGAAATTATAATTGTAAAACCATAATTTGACTGTTGGGTTAGGGCTGGCTAACAAATATGAGTATCGAAAAGCCTATATGGCATAAGATAAAAGCAATGAAAAAAAAAATAAAAGACATTAAAGGAAAAAGAGAAATAACCAAAGACAAAGACAAAGTTCACCGACCCGCCATCTAACGTCGAAACGTCCAAGTTTGTAGTGGAGTATGTATGGTAAATATGTATCTCTCTCTATGTCACAGTATCATCGGAGGGACAAGGATCTATCTATTCTTGTCTGGAAGCTTCCTGTTTTTTCCGCAACTGTCGCTGAGGTCAAGTCAGAGTTTCTCTAAAAACTTGGACGTTTTTCCACCGATGGCGCTGATGGCTGAACTTTACTTCTGGGCACTAAAAATTATTCACATTTTTGTATACTTACAAAAATGTAAGTTTTAATGTTAGGAATCCAACGGTTTAAGAATTACGAGTATTTAAAGTTGAGCACATTTGACGTAAATTAATAACCAGTTCTAGAACGAGCGAACCAATAAACTTCTCTTTCTGGTCTAGTAATATAATTTCCAGTGTATAGTATTTTAACGGTGTAAAGTTTTACACGCTTTCGGAAATCTTCAGGAAATACCCGAAAAAATAAAAAGGTTATCTACAGTTCTGTGTGCCTTGTGATATCTTGTTACGATGGACGAAACAAAAGTATTTTTGTTTATTTATTATAAATTATTAAACTACTAATTATCCATTCGTATATATTAAATAAATATTTATTCGAAATATTAATTACAAATTAAATTATCTAAGTTTTAAGTGACATTTTCTTGTAACACAGTAGTTTAACATCGGTTACAATTGACTCTTACGATGTAAATACCTACAGTGTCTTGAAGATATGATACGACGACTTTATTTGTTTTACACAATTTTCGTACAACGTGCTATGTAATATACATATAATATGATTTCATACTACGCGAAAATATTTATCGCTTTGTACAGACGTCTATTGTACTTATATGGGTATTCGGTATATTTATTTATGTTTTAATATATACCACTGTTTAAATATGTTTATGTTGCTTGTGTGTACAGGAGTGGGAGAATATTTTAGAAGAGTTAATCCATTGTCCAGTATGTCCAGATATTCCTTCGTCCCATATATTTCAATGCAAAACTGGTCATGCTATTTGTCAGCCTTGCATGAACTCTCTGATACAAGCGCAACGAGGCTGTCCATTGTGTAAAAAAGAATTTTCACATGTCAGAAATTTTGTTGCAGAGGATTTGATTCAAAATCTAGAGCTCCTGCAGGTAAAATATTTGAGTATCTTGATTTCAGGAAAATGAAAATATATTTTCTAAAACGTTCATAGTGGATGGAAATGTGTTACCTTGTAACTACGATTACGTATTTTTAATAAACGAAGTTGGATTACTCTTTTTTAATAGTATTTACCACAGTAATGGCAGATTGAGAATAGGCGTGCAATTTTTACAAACTGTACAAATACCAAAAACTTACAATTATGTCATACAGATAAGTAACGATACGTTAACCTTCATACGTCATTGAAAGGTAATATAATCAACATTAAAATTGACTAATGATTAATAATTCATACCGTTCATAGTATGTTAGTAAACATGAATTAGTATGTAATAATTGTTATATGAATGAAACAGGTCACGCCTATAACACATAAAACACGAGCTGTTGTTTACACCAATATTATACATGAGAAGGACATGGCACGCTTATTAAGGGTTAAAAAGCACCTTAAGTGCACACTATTTGTAACAAAGTGTTCATAAAATATTTAGCCACAGTAACAATTGTTAATTGAAAAAAATATTTTATTGATTATAGAATCTGTTTGACTATGCTATAGTTTAACTTTGTATTTTGTGATTTTTCCATATTATCTTAATAAAAAAATTAAACTTGTTCCTCGTAATAGAACACCGTGGTGGGTTTATCGGGTAGGATCTGCATCTTCTCAAAAAGGTCGGGGATGGTTTTCGAATATTTCCCCCACGAAAACAAAAAAAAAATTGTCTGGAATAATTCGATTCGTTAGTTCCACATGTTATACGTGTATCTATATTGTATGAGGATTCACAAGAACGGGAAAGTGAAACCAGTTCAGTTTTTGTGTAAGTTGACTATGACACCCGTTTTTTATTTAATTTCTGGTAATGCAATGATACAAAGTCGAAGGCTTATGCTACTAATGTTTTGTTACCACATGATTTATCTGATACTACACTAGAAATAGTCACAGTCGCGTTCTGTGTGGCCTGACAAGTTCCATGTAACGTAGATCTTAGTATTCGCACGTTAAACTTTGAATTTGCGTCATTGATGTTCGTTCGTTGAATCGTTTAATCTAGACAGCATTAAGTATAAGTAACACCGATTAAAGTGATTTGCAAGTTCATGTAAATGCGTAATTCAGCAAAGGTTTCAGCTATACACATAGATTTCTGAACAATCGGGAAGCTTCGACTCGAACGCGGTTTACATTCAAATAGACTTATTATTTTCTTATCGTGATGTGCGACATTTCACAATCATTAATTATGTAGATCTCTTTATGTATATTCATGTAAAATTATACCCAATGTGGGCTTCGATTCAACGAGATATCCACATCACAATGTTCTGTTATTTACATAGACTTTCTATATTTCTTCTAACGAAGTGTATATGTATACATATATCTGTACGTATAACGAAATATTTATATATAGTATATATGTATAATAATACAAAGATGACACTCTCTCGAACGACACATTTGTTCGATAATTAAAAATAACAAATGTTGCGCCTAATCTTAAAACGAACAATCGTTGCACAAAGTTTCTTAAAGTTCATTTATAGATGCATTGCCATTACAGCACACCGTGCACTAAGTGCCAACGGAAATTACACAGTGTATACGTTTTCATTTCAGGATTTGCCAACGCGTAATAAACGTTATTTAAAAAGCTATCTGCGATCGAACAGAGTTTGTACGCGGCATTCAGTTTCACATTTATTGTATTTACAGAAACTCAAGTGGGGGCATGGCAATCGTGTACGTTAATTTTACAAATATATATCGTATCGTAATTGACAAATAATTCGATATTCCACTTAAACGGGGAGAGCCGTATTTATACTTTGCAACGTGTCTCCTTAAAAATAGATTATTTTATAACTAACGAATACAGTGTTTGTTATGGCGCGCTTGCGCGTAAGTTTGTGGATCGGGATCGAAATAGCCAAGAGCACTTTTCAAATAAACCCTGTAACTGTGCGGTATAAGGAGCAACGTAGGCGACTCGCTCGATGCTAATTCGATCGACTTAGCCAACGATATTTTATAAAATCTTTCATGGACATTGCGTACGTTCGTAAATGGTTAATACGAATAGCGAATGGGCAGTGGGAGACAACCCTGAAATAGGATATTTTCATAGGATACCTTGGAACATCTGTAAAGATGGGATTCTACGGTTCGATAATTCGGAATAATTCTCTTGACCGGTGTATACGCCGCTCGGATCGGTTACTTCAAATTGGATAAAGATATCGTGATTCTTATATACAAAAGAAAAAAAAATATATATATATCAGAAGAGAAAGTTGTCGCAATCGTTACGAGGAAGGATTGTCCTACAGGCTTCCCCTTTCGATTGCGAAGAAGCAATCTGTTTTAGCCGAAGGCAAAACAGATACACCAAGTACGTCGACCCGCGTTTAACGCGTCGAACACTGCATATTAAGTTATCTCCGTTCAGTTATCCGCCAGCATGTACAAGACCTACTAATCTTTCATGAAAGTTGCTACAACAAGTCATCCCTTCTCGGTTCTTCGAGAGTACCATGTACCGTATTCATTCTACAAACTTTTCTTGTACGTAACCATTGAAAACGTAAAATTCTCTGCGATTAGAGGCCATCTCTACGATGAGAGTTCTCCAAGAAGTTGAACCGTTCAGACCAAGCTACGATTCCGACTCGTAGCGCATCACCTGGACTAAAACACGTCGCTACGAGTCCGACTCGTAACGTTTTCAGCATCGAACAGAATAACGAGTTACGAGTAACAAGAACGAGTTAAATCGGAATACCGATCCGATTTCATCTCGACACGATCGTAACGTCGAGTTACTCGCTTCTCGAACAATCGAAGAAGAAGAAATTACCGCGTACCTCGGCTTTATCATTCCGCCTCGAACACCTCTGGCCGTTTAATTCCTCCGAGAAGCCATTCGGCGATCGATCGATCGATCGCTGCACAGACACCCTCGAAAACCCCGAATGAGGGATATATCGATCGATTCCTGGTCGAATCGTCGCTGCATAGTTCCCCTTTCTCAACCCCTTCGTTACCTCGACCATTTCACCATCGAATCTGCTGAAACGTTGCACTGGCTCCTTACGAGAGAATGCAGGAATTCCTCTTGGACTCCGATCGCTCGCGGATCTGCTGCAAATGCTGCAGCTGAGCCGGAGATGGCACGTGGGCACTGCTACTGCGCGAATTCAAATGCTGCGGCGGCGGCAACGACTGTCGACGACGTCGTCGCAACGCCGGGCTCAAATTGTATTTCAGTTTCGCCTGTACCAGAAGCTCCTTGAACACCAGAGAGATGTTGGTGTTCTCCTTCGCCGATACCTCCACGAATCCGTTCTCCCATTTCATGGTCACCAGCTCCCTCGTGCTCTCGGGGTCCACCTGGAAATTTATACGTTGAAAGTTGTAAAGGTTCAGTTACCAGAACAAACTGGCAACTTGGAGTGATTTTAATATTCCATGTATCTTTGCAGCCTAGAAGACAAAAGTTTCGTAGTTTTCCTTTGACACCTTCAATGACAAATTTTCGTCACAATCGTCGCGCACGAAGTAACGCTGGAAACGTTAAATTATTACGAAAAAATTGTACGAAGCTCACCTCCTGTTTCGAGTCGACCAGGTCGACTTTGTTGCCAACGACGACAATAGGCACTGCGCCCTTCACGCTGCAAATCTGCGCCTTGAGAGTCTCCACCTCGAGGAACGTGTTGGCGTCGTTAACGTCGTAGACGAGGATGAAAGCGTCCGCCAACTTGATGGAGAGGTCTCTCATGGCAGGAAACTCGTACGAGCCCGACGTGTCCAAGATGTCGAGGGTCAGTTGTATCCCGGAAACGTTGAAGTCGCCGTGATGCATTTCTTCCACCGTTCGCTTGTACTTCGGTGTGAATGTGTTGTAAAGGAACTGGTTGATTATAGCCGATTTCCCAACCTTCGCGGCGCCCATCACGACGATCTTGTGCCTTATGGAACTCTCCGCTGGTTTTCCACCGCCACTGTCCGATTCCGACAGTCTCTCATTTCTGAAACGATCGTCGACGATCTCAGTTGAAGCTAAACATAGGCTACGTAAAGATTTGGAGCTTGGACGTTTAATGACTCGACCTGTTGCGTTCGTATCGGATACAGGATGATGTTTTCAGAGAGTTTGGGAGTCCTCTATCTTAAGAGGATTGGGTTGGGAACGATAGTGATGCCTTCTGGCGAGGAAGCTTGTGTCACCGAGATTCCAGGGGACCAAATATCGGTCGAATCGCTGCAGTTCGATGACCTTTACCTTAATTGCGAAGCGAGCGATAGGCTGAAATTACGGTTAGAGACAAAAGGAGTCTTTTCTCCTGGCTCGAACGAGGCCAGCCGGTATAAATAAAACAGCAAAGTGTCTCGCGTTTAAGGGGACAGCAGCCCGCCGGAGAGAATAGCGCCAATGAACGCTAACGATCCCTTTCACCAAATACGCGTTTTGTGTCGGGGTGTCCTGAATTCGAGCCACTATGACTCCCTAGAATATCTCTCTCGCGGCGCGATACGTACTTCACTCGCTTTTGCATGCACCAGATAACAACTGTTTCTAAGTATCTTCGTCTTCGTAATCATCCACGCTTATTACAGGAAGGAGTCAGCCGTGGTTATTACCGACTGCACAAAGGAGGTGCGCCGAGCTTGCCTTTTCGCGAGGACTCACCGCAAAATTAAAGCTCGGTCCGCCCTAAGAGCGAGTCAAGAGGAGGCCAGGAATGACGAGGACGGTTGAAAAAGGAGAAAAGGCGAAAGAGAGAGTAAGTAACCGAGACCTGGAACGTGTTTCCCGTCCTACGAATCATGCATTTCTTTGCCTTGCCGGTGCTTCGCCTCGTTCTCCGAGGTGGAAGCAACTTTTTCACCGTTTGAAAGTAAAATATGTATTCGGGGAAAAGCGAGGTAGAATTGAGTTCGTGCTTCGACGAAACGGTGGGGAAAGTACTTACATCTACGTGGTACTCGCTCACGGTACTGTGCAGAAGCGATGGGACCGATAAGGAACATTACTTAACACATTCGCGACCGCTTCCGTGAATTCACGCCATTTCGAATTCTATTTCTGGTTTCTATTCCGAATTATGAACGTATTTTTATTTTACGTTAAAATAAAAATATACTCGAGAAACGCAGATCTTTCAAGCAGTATAGGTGTGCTTTAGTCCGCGGTCTATTAAATTATGTTAGGCATTCGGTACTGCTGGTAGAGATTACCAAAGATCAGCATTTTCGTCGACTCGTATGGGGATGTTTCCCTTCGACTTTCGACGCTGCCAGAACTATCGAATTTTATTTCATTTAATTTTTGTACTCTTACTTTGCGTTCACCCACCATTTCTCAGCACTTCGAAGTCAACAAAATTTGTTCGAAGTAGGCTGAAAATCAGCCTACAGCATTCTTGGAGCGATAAGGGCGAACGAGCGTGTAATTGGATTGGTCGCAGCGCCGGGAACGTGGATTTCTCGAAGTGGTTTCCTTTATTTGCTCACGAACGCAACAGGTTCAAGAACACTTGGCGACGTATAGATTTCCTTACCTAACGTGCTTCGTCGTTCCATCTTCTTGGCCCTCTTTCAAGGACGACGGCTGTAGACTGAATCTGCGACGAAACTGATGCCGACCTTTCATCATTTGTGCCCCAAGTATTTCTATCGAACAGAACAGGCGAAAGCAGTCAGTCTCGTCGGTTGAACGTAGAAAGGAAACTCGAAAAGTCAAGAGCGGTGAAACGTTTTTTTCTCCTAATGCATTCGCCGTTAAAGCGTCGCTCTTTTTCCTTCAGCCGTTTTTACGTGTTGCTAACGAAACCTTTGCAGTTGTCGGTGGTGGTCGAGATGTACGACAGCTCTTACAGCTGTGCTGAGTTACGAGTCTTTTGAGAGTGAAGTGGTAAAAGGTTATGAAAGAGGAGATACGATACACACCGTCCGTATTACATTACAGAGATCTCTTTCACTTTGTGCGCCAGACACAAGTCGCGAGCGTGTCTGCCTCGATACTACCCTCCAAAAGTTTCTCCAACAATAACTCGTTTCAAACGCTTCGACGCGTGCATCGAATCTTTTTCCTTTCTTCTTGGCTGTACAATAATTTCAAATTAATTTTTTCATTAAAAAGTTTGAAGAACGAGTTCCTTTTCATCTATAAATATGAATCTAAAAAAGTTCCCCCTTCTTTCTTAAATTCATGGTTGCCCCGCTGACCATGTAATTAAAATTCAATCGCGCGGTTTTCGCAACATTACGCGGTCGTAAAAATCGATTTAGTCTGGGGTAGGCAATCGCGGCTAGCAGAACCGATTGATCCACCTACAGATAGACAGATATATGTTCGCGTTTCTGCTGATAAAGCTGGACGAACCACAGGCGTCGAACGTCATATCGATCGGCCTGTCGAGTTTAATAACGCTCTGCTACCACGAAAAACTGAGGAATAAGTTCCTCGATCGAATTTTACTTTTACGTAGTATTTACACGCCTCCCGAGAGCAGGGTTTTTTCTGTTTCGACGAGTTGCGCGAGTTACTCTTGTTTGTCTGGGAATTAGCATTTTTTTTTGTTGTCAGGTCAAATAGGATTCGTTTGGTCCGATTAACGCTCGCGAACCTTCCTACGCGGACTAAGCCGAGATTAAAGTGTGAATGGCAACTACTTAGAGCGCTCGTTCGCGAAAATCGTATGAATTTGTTAACAGCAGCGAGAGTTATTCACTCCGGCTTAAACGCGCTCGAAAATGAACTTCGTGCGTAATTCGCGTGGTTTGTCGCCGTAACTCTTCAATATAGATATCAACAAACGAACAAAATTAAACATTCCAATTTTTAAAAATATGTTACCTTGAAACTCGCGTGGAAACAGTGCCGTGTAAATTGAGGGATTAGATGTTCGAGTAATCATAACAATCGATCGATTTATCTAGACAGCAGGCGATCGATTCGTTCGTACTCTCAGGGTTGTCTACGTTTAATCTTGGACCGATTCGCGGGCAATATCGCTTATATCGGATAGAAGCGCGCAAAGCAGCTCGGAACAATGCCAGTGGGCGGGCTTTTGTTCCTCGCCGTAGGAGGTGACATTTTCTAATCTTGGCCAGTACAGGTACCGATGTTCCCCATGAATAAACACGTAAACTCGCTTTTGCGAACGTTCGCTGCCGATCGATACGTGGGCGCGTAACGCAGTTTCCCGTCGCGATAAGCGATACGTGTGTTCTGCAACGACCATGGAACCAAACGTACGCGCTTGCCAAAGAACAGGAGTCGAGTGATCGATAGAACGACCCGATAATTGCCAGGCAACCGGGTGAAAACGGTGTCGATATCGTTTATGAATGTTTTTATTGAAGGTGCAACGCTGCTTTCGATGGTGTCTTCCAAAGACGAGCTGAAAAATTATTTTTAGTTTTATAATTATTTTTCATACGTTTCAATGTAATTTACGAAGTTAAGTACGAAGTGCCTGAATATTTTATCTGTTAATTATTTGTTTCAGATTTTTGATACCGTGTATCGAAATTAACTCGTGCTAAAGAATTATAAAAATGAAACTAGCATTATCTAGAATTTTATCGAGGGAACGTAATCGCCATTTCCGTCGAGAGATCGTGAAAGAAATAACGCCATCATCGAATCGTTTTCAGGCACTCATCGCCGATCGATTCCCAAAATATTACCGTAAAACTCCAGCGATTTCGCCAAGCCAGGCAAGAACGTTTTAATCTCCGCGTTTATTGCCTCGTAAAGCCTGAAAGAACCAGCATCGACGGTGCATTATCGATCAACGCTTTCCGGCGATATTGCTGCTATAAACTATCGAATCGCTTGTCTGAGTTTTAATCCAGTTCTTCGAGAATTTATTTCCACCTACTTGTCGCGTGCTACATGGCGAATCGCTCGCGTATTTATCATCCTTAAGTTTCTACGCGGCTAACTGAACAAAATTCAATTTATTCGCATTTCGACATTTGTTACCTTCCGTTACTTATGGAGTCGTATTTCATTTCTTATTTTATGGATTTTTTTCAAGTTGCCCATAGCACGATAGACCATTCCTCGTTCGAATTTCTGTGGTAAATCAGTCATCGCATTTTTAATGACGATAACAGCTTGTCAGATACTTAACCCCTTGACCTTGACGGAACAGACCGCGACGCGCGATACAGGAAGAAGAAAACGATGATTGTATCTAGGGCACGAAGAGGTTAAACCGAACACGGAGATCCTTCCCCCTTTGATAATTCTCCCTCTCCGTGATTCATGTCCCAGCAGGTCGGTCGCGCGATATAAATTGCGGTGATTAGGAAACACAGCGATTAAGAGCGCTAATAAATGCGTCGCGATTAGTAATTAGCTATAGGGAAACGGTATCGCTCCCTCGAGAGACTTGTAATTACGGTTCCACCACTCTCCGGGAACATTTCCAATAACGACGAAGCATGTTTATTATTAGCAACGTGGTTCGTGCAATGCACCGCGCTTCAAATCCTTGGGATTATTAAGTTCTCGAGAATGAGTCCAATCGAAAAGGTGAAATGATCGAGAATAAGACGTCGTAAGTTTCGCTAGTCCTCCAGAAACATGAAAGAAAAACTATTTAGACAAAGAAAACATAAGTACTTCTATTTATTCGCGATCGTTCTCAACCTATCGTCCACGATCTCGATCAATGATTTCTCGTTTTGATAATAGATATCGATGTTCGCAATACTGCAGGTTATTCGTTCATCCGCGCTAATATATCGGTAGGACGAAAATTTATCGGTGAAATATGGAAAATTATAATCCGTCGACACCTCGCGAATTAATTTATTTCGTGATCCGATCTTCGCGTCGCTGATAATTTGTGTTCGTTCCGAGGCTGTGTTTGTGTATCGATATTTGTGAAACCAGGAGCGTCGCTTAGCGGTCGTTTGAATAATCAGGGAGCAGCAGTAAATTCATTACAGCGTGCATTGACTAAAATTTCGTTGGAATAATCGGGCTAGTCCGACAGCTACAATCCAGAAATCCAACATTGTCGTTAGGAATCGATGTTCGCACGGAACGTAGGAAAATTGTGTCATCGATTAATCCGCCCTTATCCGCCTTACGATCAAAGATGCGCTCCCGTGAAAGGGAACAAACGAATTCTCCGCGACGCCGGAGCATCGAAATTGAATGAGCAGAAAATGGAAGAAGGTCTGGTAGCGTTACGGCTTCGCGTAATCAGATGCAACTCGGAAGCCTGCCTTTCGAAATAATCCGAATTAAGTTTATTCGGGAACTCGTTCGCCTTAGGATACCTTTTTTCATTACTTTGGCAAATCTCCTCGTTACAGGTTCCTTTAAGGGGTTGCATGTACAGTTGAACGCTCAAAGGGGAAGCTCGATTGTACGGAATTATCCTTTTTTAATTTAGCTATTCATCTATTTAAACCAACCTTTTACACTGTTTTATAACTCTTTATAAAAGGGATGCAAATATTCCAAGCAATTTCGAGCCAGAAGAAACGAATCGAGCTAAAGTTCACTGTTTTCGTTTAAACAATTTTTCCAGAAATAAACGCACACAAGGAATTCGTAAAACTGATACGATGGAACGATGTTTGTCAGGATTAGGACACCCGCTGTTTATGCGGTGCGGGTATCGCGCGGAGAGGCTAACATTATGCGGAAGCGGGTGATATACTTCGGATCGATATTCAGATTATCCGAAAAAATGATGCGGGTAGGCGTTTCGTCCTATCAAGTTTTACACCGCGACGCGATAACGTCTCCAGCGATTTATAGCCAATTTGATGAACGCGTTTTTCGTTTCTCTATATCTCGTCCTGTTTTACGACAGCACAATACTTTGCATACGTATTACGGCACACCGCGAATTATGTTTGGTTTTCGACGAAAAAAAAGCGACGTCGATAAGCGCTAACAACTAGATATAAATACATATAAATTCATCGATTTTATATAATAGTGTGCCAAGTTCGAATGAAAAATAGAATTTTGATAGAATTAATCGTGAGATACCCTAAAATTATTTTGTAAAGTGTTTTTTTTTTTCTAGATTTAAAAAATTTGTAACCCCAGAGTCACGCAGCAGTTTAAAATCGATAGGGCGGTGCAGAGAGGGAATTCGAACGGGCGTCGATGTCGATTCGTATTTGTGATGCATTTTGTAATTAATAGGGGAAAAAAAGGGAGAAGTTTTCCCGCGCATCGATGAAACTGACGTGCAGCCTTTCATGTGTCATGGTTCGACGTGTCGTGCCGCATTGACATTAATTAAACCCAACGACTGCGTTAATCCCGGCGTTAACGGGTCACTGAAAAAGTCGCTCGATTGTTTTCCAATAAAGAACGTCGCGTCGAGTTAACGTTGATTCTACGTCAAATCGATTCTCTCGTGTGCGTGGTTCGCCACTTTACACGTGTGCCGCAACGAAAAGCTTTCTTACGTTTCGCATAATGATCCTAATTAATGCCTCTCGACACTCCCGGCGTAGCAACAATCCTTTTAAAGAATTCCTGATAATTAAGATTTCGCAAAGAAAAGCCCCAGCCTCGTTACCAGTTTTTTTGTTCACGAAATGAAAATAGCCTCCATTATCCAGCGCCGCTGATGCCTCAGCCGAACGCCTTTTTAATTAAGAAAATTGCGAAACGCTACGCGAATATCCACAGTATTTATCTGTATAGGAATAAACGTCGTGACGTAACAGTATCGATATAATCAGAATAATTCGAATAATCAGAAAACTTTTACGCATCACAGTTTCCGAAGCAGTGATTACCAAGTAGAATAAAACGCCATAAGCGCTGGCATACGATTTCAATTTCATAAAACTTAATAAACTAAATATATACATATCTGCGTGCCATTGTCGCTGAAAAGGGTTCGGACGATTTTGTAGCAAAGGCACGACATTGTAACGTGTATTAATAGATTCGTGCGTCTTCCTACCCCCTTCGATATTCGCGATATAAGTTGCAAAAGGTACACCCTCGTAAAATCCCTCGTTTAAAACGTTCTTCCGCATCGATGGAAATTGTTACGTAACGCGAAAGGGCTTCCCGTCCTATGGGCTTTCTCAAAATCTCACACTTATTGTCGTCGTGAAGGTGTTCGACGGTAGTAAACACACGTACACGGTATAAATGCCCAACCCTGGCGGAAAATGCTTTTACGAACCCCCGTTCGACCTCGTAAATTACGCGTCTGGGGTAGAGGCAACAAGTTTCGCGACAGTTTCTCAGGCTGCATGCGAGGCTCTTCGCGCGGCCCGGCCGATAATCGATCGTCTACAATTTCAGTCGACTCATCACCCTTACGGAACAATTGATTACGCGAAACGCTATGCACGAGAGCAAAGCCAAACACGATGGACGCAATCGGTCGTAGAAATTTTCACCAGTTTCAGATTGGCACCCAACGCGATATCTCCGCTCGAGTATTCCAATATTCGAATGGAGAAAAATTTCGTGAGGAGACAAATTCTCAATTTCTATCCAAGAGTTCCAACGGTTCATAAGAGGGTGCAACTCGGCGTGTTCGATTGGGTTCGAAAGAGGTTGCCACGAAGTCAAAGTTCCGAAACTTATCGAGCGTATCTCTCGAAAATAAAGTTCCAACGGAAGTCGTGACACAGTTGCAAACTTCGTGACCGATCTTCCAATTAATCAGAGAACCGCGAGGAAAAACCGCGAGGGAACGACGAAGACGAAATCGTAAGTCGATTCGCTGGGAGGGGCGGAGTGCGACGGGACACATTTTCGGTGTGCTCGTTTCCGAGGCGATATCTTTCTCTGTTGCTGACTCGGATGGCGTATTGCTGGTCGGACGTCCAATTCGACCCTTTGGAAGTGGAGATAGGGGCGGCGACCCCCACGGTGACGTCTCCCTGTATATCGGTAACGCGTCGGAGGAAAGAGCAACGGGGTCGACGCTGGGCGAAATAAGAAAAAGGGGGCGTGAGTCGAGTTTCCTGCGCGACGGGACGTCGGGATCGCGTCTGCGGAGGAAAGAAAGAAGCGAGCGGAACCAGAGAGGGATTCGCGCTCCCAGCACGTCGACGTCGGCGTCGTCGTACATCGCCCACCCTTGCTTCTGCTCGTCTGAACTGGATCGGTGCAATACGACGAAACCCGACAGCATGGAGCCGCTCGGTTCCGACGACTGACTTCCGTCCAGGTCGTTGCTCCACTTTACGCTCGCACACGCGTTCCCTGGGCCCTCCCACACTCCACTGGCCGATTCCAGTCCAACGCTCGGACTCCACTGGCCGCCACGAGCCTTGGTGTAGTCACAAAAAAATTGGCTGTTTCGTAACGTCTGCAGGGGGTTGGACAAAACACTCTGCGACAGAACTAACCCTTCGCGCTCGAAGAGTCTCGCTTTGGAGAAGTAGCTACTCTGGGAAATTGCATAAAAAGGTAGCATGTTCTATTTAACGTTGATGTTTGTGTATTTTTCATGGAACTATATACCTTCATCCTTAGTATACTATGAAAATCTACAATTTAGATTTTCTGGATCCAACTGTTAAACATTGCGGTGATTCTGTAATGATTTGGACAGCTATACCTTGGAATTCAGCCGTCCGCACCATAACCCTAAATGGCCATATTACCGCCAGTAAGGGCAGATGCTCAGATTTTATTCTTATCCTCACGTTACTATCTCAGAAACGACACCATTTTTCAAGATGACAATGCATCCGTATACACAGCCGTTCAATCCTAGTTTGAGAAGCAAAAGATGAGCTTCGCCATGGAGAGAGGCGTTCACCCTTTTTTCAAACATTTACCGTTCCAAATGGATTTTTTCCATTTTTAACCATACCGAACGAATTTTTTCATGGTAATATCGCTGCATCGAGTTGAAATATTCGCGAGTTTCACTTCATTCCTTAGTTTATTTAACATAATTTTACCGTAAATGTTTAACGAATTGTACAGTGGACCGAAGCGAAGACAAGTTTTCTTCTGTACATTGTGAGAGCCTACAAACGTCACCATTTTGCCAAACATCTACGTAGCCATTCTT